TTGTTTCATATCTTGATATATTCTCTTAAGTACAAGGTCAAAGTTTTACCATAGACAATGCAACTTGTTAGCACTTACTTCTATTTTTTTTGTTTTTGTTTAATTAGTTCTGCACATATTAAACTCTTCATAAACTACCATATTTTTTTTGCTGTTTCACAATTTTTTTTAGATTTTTGCTTTTTGCAAAAAATTGTTTAAATGATACTAAGTGATATTACATGACCTACAGCAAACAAACTTCAGAACTTGCTGCTTGTGAAAATTAAATAAACCAACTTTTAAACTGGCTCAAGTGTGTTGTGGTTGTTGTGGTTTTGAAAGTGGGTTATTTATTTTAACCACAGACAGTTTTAATTTCTTTATCATTGATAAACAATAATAATTAAGAGTCGGATCATTATCATCTTATGAATTTGTTATTCAGTAGCCAAAGTTACATAAAGTGTTATTAGAGTCTTATTATAGTGTTAGAGTTTAAGGTGAAATATATATAACTGATAGGGTAAAACACACTTATTTGTTTTGTACAAGTATAAATCCTAACTAGGTCCGTCTAAGCCCTGTATTTGTATAAAAGGTTAGTCTGTGACTGCCTGCATAGCGGGGCCTCTGTGGCCGAGTGGTTAAAGTCGTTGACTTGAGATCACAGGTCCCTCACCACTGTAGGTTCGATCCTCACTCGGGTCGAAATCTTTCATGTGAGGAAGCCATTTAGCTGGCTTACGGAAGGTCGGTGGTTCTACCCAGGTGCCCGCTCGTGCCTGAAATAATGCCCGGAGGGGCACCTGGGGTCTTCCTCCACCAATAAAGCTGGAAAAAAATCGATGAAAAATCTCGGCGGGACGCACTAGGATGACCCGACTTGAGTGTAAGGTCGCCCATATGGGCTTTCCGGCGGGGACCTAAAATAAGCGCATAAAAAAAAAGCCTGCATAGCTCATAAAGGGAGAGCAGGCTGCCTGCATAGTTCATAAAGGGAGAGCAGTCTGCCTGCATAGCTTGTAAAGGGAGAGCAATCTGCCTGCATAGCTCATAAAAAGAGAGCAGGCTGCCTGCATAGCTCATAAAAAGAGAGCAGTCTGCCTGCATAGCTCATAAAAAGAGAGCAGTCTGCCTGCATAGCTCATAAAAAGAGAGCAGTCTGCCTGCATAGCTCATAAAGGGAGAACAGTCTGCCTGCATAGCTCATAAAAAGAGAGCAGTCTGCCTGCATAGCTCATAAAAAGAGAGCAGTCTGCCTGCATAGCTCATAAAAAGAGAGCAGTCTGCCTGCATAGCTCATAAAGGGAGAGCAGTCTGCCTGCATAGCTCATGAAGGGAGAGCACTAGATTTATAATGCATGGGTTGATCATCTTGTGAGACAAAATTTCTCCTTATGATCTCAGACATTGAGTCTTATACATGTAGTCATTTGTTCTCTCATATATGATTCAGAAATCATGTGATATTAGTAGTGGGACCATTGCAGAGAAATTAGTAATAATTATCCAGAAAAGTCATTACTGGTTATTACTAGTTAGTTATCCAGAAAAGTCATTACTGGTTAATTATCCAGAAAAGTCATTACTGGTTAATTATCCAGAAAAGTCATTACTGGTTAATTATCCAGAAAAGTTAGATGTACTGACCTCAGTGATACGACAAAAAGTGTGTTGAAACAAAAAAGAACAACAGACAAACAAGCATGTCTGTGTTCTTGTATGTGTGGTGAATTTTTTTGTTTAAATCACAAGCCGATTCTAAGTTCCTCAATAGAGATGACCAAGACAAGTGATTATTGTGGCTTATAACTAGTTGACATACATTCACTGTTTGAAAGTTTTATAATACAGTTATCTCTAAGGAAGTCACATCTCTATATAAACATGTTACATGTATTTATATCTTCAAGGACCTGAAACTTACACAGGGAAGTAAAGAACTTATCAAATTTTCCTTCCTTGTTATAAAGGAAGTCATTTTAACTGGTCAGGATTTTTTTACTGTTATCTTTCTGATGATAAAGTCAATTATATCAGGTGTATGTATTTGCTTTTTCCCCCTTCAGATTGTAACGGTTATAATTGTCAAAATTTGATTACATTGCTTTAGTTTGTCTTTAAATCACTTAGACTTATTGATGGTTATTGGGCTTACCTACTTGTAGGTACTTGTGCCTTATCAAGGATGCAGAAAACTTGTTTAAAAAAAAAAAAATTCAGTTGTCAACTGAAAAGTTGATGGAAATTTTTACTTTCTAGTGGCATAACTTTACTTGCCTATATAAGAATAAAAGTTCCAAACATGTTTTAAGGAAAGTTAATGATAGGTAAAGTGTTGACAGGTTTTTCTTTATATAGACCAGTCTGTGCTTCTATGAAAACATTCTGCAAATTCCTTACAGCAATGAATGGTATCTCAATAATCCTCCATTCTATGTAAATTAATTTCAAGAAGGAAGATGTACACTTCCAGTTGTACTGTATTTTAGATTAAAGCTTTTCTGTGTTGGACACTTTCATCTGGATAAGAAATTTCCAGTTTAACTACTTTTAGCCAAAACAATTTACAGTAGCAACTAAATACACTTGATAATATTTACTCTTATACTGAGCTGTTGTCTGTTACAACCAATCAGGGAGCTTGTTGTCTGTTACAACCAATCAGGGAGCTTGTTGTCTGATACAACCAATCAGGAAGCTTGTTGTCTGTGACAACCAATCAAAGAGCTTGTTGTCTGTTACAACCAATCAGGAAGCTTGTTGTCTGTTACAACCAATCAGGAAGCTTGTTGTCTGTTACAACCAATCAGGGAGCTTGTTGTCTGTTACAACCAATCAGGGAGCTTGTTGTCTGTTACAACCAATCAGGGAGCTTGTTGTCTGTTACAACCAATCAGGGAGCTTGTTGTCTGTTACAACCAATCAGGGAGCTTGTTGTCCAATAGCAGGTGTTTCTAGGGGGAGGCCTCCCACATACTGGGATGTGAATGTGTATTTGTGAATAGTAAATAACATTTTATAACAAATGTCTGCATTCTTAAGGAATAGAGATACAGAATATTTTATTTATTTATTTTATTTTTTGGCTTACAAATTTATTTGTCCACTCTTTATATCACTTAGACTGGCAGATAAGATTTGTCAAAGTGTTAAATTGATGTATGTTACTCTTCCTTTATTAATGATTTTTTTATGGGGAGGGGGGATAATACATACAAAGTTTTTCTTTATTGTTGGTTGTAAGTGTAACCCAGGGACAATTAAAATTGTGCCTTAATTTTAATTGCTGGGTTTAATTAGTTACCTACTCTTGCCATATTGATGGTTGTAAGGTTTACTTGGGTACCAGTAGTGTAAAATACACATAGAAAATCCTTTCTGCGTCATTGATAAAGTGATTGTTTAAAAAAATAATTTATCTATAATTGATAGATTTCAATCAGATGAGATAATAAAGCTAGAATATTGCACTCTTTGTGAATAAAGAATATGTCCATTTATATAAAATATATTGGTGAATGTTATTTGAGCAGAGAATTTAACAATGTTTAATCATGCAATATCAAAATATTAATAACATATAAATTTTAAGATAGCTATAACATTTTCTTCTGTTGATAATTTTAGTTAACTCTTTAATTACTCAAAAACAGTTTGGAGTCTTTGTTGTTTTAGATTTTTGTTCTCTTTTATTCTGATCCTTGTAGTAAAAATGTTACCTAGCGACATAAATATAAGATATAAATGAGAACAAAACAATTGCATGAACTATGTTGAGAACACAAATAGATATTATGACCTAATTATCTCCTGTTTTCATTTTAACAATGTTTATAATGAATATATTTAATTCTGTAGTGGTTTTCCTGATAATGAAATCCATCACCATGACTACTACAATACACTCAAGGATTTAGCCCAGTAAGTAAGGGATGCAACTCTTGTGATCCTTGAATGCAAGGAAAGGGAGGTAATCTGATCATCTCTTACACAGAGATGAACAGAGATGCTACTTTCCATATCATGCAAAATGAAGCCCTTAAAATTAGCATAATAGTGTAGTGTATATAAACTTTCACTGCCTTGCAAAACATATAGTTAAACTCGCATGACTGACAATCAGTGCAACAATTTTAGAATTTTTGTTGGTTTGTTGTTTTGTTTGTTTGGTTTTTTGCATCAGCCTAGAGCATTGATGTATTCTAGTCAAATCCTTTTCAATACTAAAATAAAAACATTGACTAACAACTGTATAGAGTCAGGCCAGTCTGCCCATCTGTTAAGTATAACCAGGTAAAAACTAATTACTTTAGGTTTTAGCAGATTAAGAGCTAAAAAAGGTTACAGTTATCAGAACTTGCATCGGATTGGTGGACTTTAATTGACCAATGGTAAAGTTTTAAAGCTAGACTTGTGCCAACACTCTCTGACCAGAATTTCCACTGTGACTATGTCAATATCTAGATTATAAAATGGCTGAAGTTTAATATAGGACAGCTTCAAACTGAAAGTATCATAAATTTATATTGAACAATTTAAGTTTGCCTAGTTCTTTGATACATGAAATATAGTCCCTGCTTTGTTTTTGTAATAGCCTTGCATACAATTTACTTTGAGCATCAATATTATAAACAGTAATTGTAGATAGATTTGTGGTAAAAATCTGATTTCTTTTAAGTTTAATAGTAAAGGTTGTTAAAACAATTTACTATCACATCCCCCACATTCCTGCCAACTTTATTATTAAGCTTATTTGTGTAGATATCTGGTGGAATGATATTAAGAATGGTATAACAACAGAATATACTCTACTAATATGTCCTGTTTCTATTTTTGTTATATATTTTTGTGTGTGTAGTTTTTATTTTGTCATATATTGTGTTATATATATAGAATATATAGACACTATATATTGCAGATTTTGTGTTTGACTTCAGCTTTAAGTGTTGTCTTCATGTAGTAATTTTAGTGTGATGTGACCCTTGAACTAATATTTGAATGCTTGTTATTTGTAGAGGATTCCCACAACACAATGATAATGAGGAACCAGAAGAAGATATCTATGGCAACCTCTCAGATATGGCCATGTAAGTACACAAGCTTCAAATGTCATGGTCAGGTAGGGCGCCATGTTAGAATACAAAGTCTAAGAATGGCCATATAAGTACACATCTTTGAAAAATTCAATTTCTGGTGTGACAGAGTTTATATACAAAACTAAGATTAGATAATAGCCACATAATGATCACTATAATTATGTAAGTTCAAGGTCAGATAATGGCCATTTTAAAATACAACTTTCAAAGTTCAAGGTCAGACTGGCCATTTGAGAACACAAAGTTCATGGTCAGACTGGCTGTGAGAACCTCAAGTTCAAGGTTAGGCTGGCTGTGAGAACCTCAAGTTCAAGGTCAGACTGGCTGTGAGAACCTAAAGTTCAAGGTCAGACTGGCTGTGAGAACCTAAAGTTCAAGGTCAGACTGGCTGTGAGAACATAAAGTTCAAGGTCAGATAATGGCCATTTTTAACACAACCTTTAAAAGTCAAGGTCACACTGACCTTGTAAGAACTAAATCTTATTGCACGAGATCATATTATGGCCATTGTATAACATAACCGTCAGAGATCACAGTCTTGTTGGCCACATAAGAACTAAACTGTAAAGTTCATTGTCAGATAATGGCAATGTTAGGTCTGTAATAATGAATACCTTCAGGTTTACATCTTTGTTTTTGTGAACAAGAAGAGTAGGAGAGACATTACTTCTAAGTGTTATGTTAATGTTGAACATTCAGATTATAACAAAATAGGCAGTGCTTATTCATTTACATACTAGGATTTGTAAGGAGAAGGTTGTTATTGTTGGGTGTGCATGATAAGATTTAGCTGCTTATAGACATTCTTTTTTTACAGAATGTAATTTTCATGATTTTTTTTTCTTTTTTGATGATATTTTAAGAAATTGGTTTGTATGTTGATACACAAATGTTAAAGGGACTCCACTGATGCCCATAAGCATAAATTCATAATTTGTTGAATTCTTGCATAGATAAATAGGGCATTTGAAACACAAAAATATACAAAAGATAACAAAGAAAATATACTCAGAATAAAATTGAAAATCAATTTTGTATGTAATTCTATATCAAATTTGAGTAATAAGTTTTTAAACACTTCAATAAAAATGGATTATTCTGAAGAAAAAAAAGAAGATAATTTAATGAAGATATTTTCTAAAAATTAAGCTCACAGACAATTGCTTCAAATGGTACACAAATCTATATAAAAAAACAACCTATTTCCTGTCATGTTAAAAAAACTTCAGTGGAGGCCCTGACTTAGGATATTCCGAGCTATTCTAGATATTTTTGGTATAAATTTGGTTATAATTTTGACTAAATTTCATCAACATTCCACTTTGTTTTGAATTTAATATATGAAAAAACATTGTATTTTAGATCCTTTCTTGGTCATTAAATATTAGTTAATTTGTTTTATTATATATGTGGATAAATTTTGTATATATTTGTCATTTTACACATATATAATAATTATATATCACATATATGAATACAATCTGACAGGGAAAAATCTTTATGGTATATTTATTATTAATGTGATCCTGATATTAAATGACTGAACTTATTGCTTACATACAAGCAGTTATATATATATTTATTTATTTATAAAGACTCATTGTCAGGGTATCAGGAACTGTTACTTGTATTTCACTGTAGAATGGGTCACATTTGGTCCACCTAAAGCTCATAAGATACTGGCCTAGTGAAATCCACCTGAGTCAAATACAAGTTCAATATCTTTGTTTAACAATAACAACCCTTTAATTAATATTCATTTAATATTGGGACAAATTTATTAACTAAACTGAGTTGAGAAAAAGTTGATAAAAATTGATGTGATCTATGTCATCTTAACATATCATTGACCATGTTTTGTTTATTGATATGAGTAGACCTATTAGATGCATTTTTGAGTATTTTTGACCAAGCATGTAGTTTATAGTGAAGCATATGAACTTAGAGTGTCTGTAAGTGAAATCAAAGTTTAGCTAATGAGACCACATAAAATACTTATATTAGCTCTATAAATGTACTGTAGCACTTGGTCTGAATTGATATTGGACCATTTTTCTCTTTTTCTTTTTATATGCCCGAAAGGGCATATTATGTTATACCCCCTGGCGTCCGTCTGTCTGTCTGTGTGTCCGTCCGTCCGTCCGTACGTCCGTCCGTCCGTCCGTTAGCAATTTGGTTTCCGGAGCATAACTTAAGTTCCATTTGGCCCACAATGTTCAAACTTCATAGGATGATTGTCCATATTGGGTAGAAGACCCCTATTGATTTTGGGGTCAAAAGGTCAAAGGTCAAGGTCACTATGACCTTAAAACTGAAAACAGTTTCCGGAGCATAACTTAAGTTCCATTCGACCAACAATGATCAAACTTCATAGGATGATTGTCCATATAAGGTAGAAGACCCCTATTGATTTTGGGGTCACAAGGTCAAAGGTCAAGGTCGTTATTACCTTGATACTTAAAACAGTTTCCGGAGCATAACTTAAGTTCGAATTGACCCACAATGTTCAAACTTCATAGGATGATTGTCCATAGTGGGTAAAAGACTCCTTTTGATTTTTGGGTCAAAAGGTCAAAGGTCAAGGTCACTATGACCTTAAAACTGAAAACAGTTTCCGGAGCATAACTTAAGTTCCATTCGACCAACAATGTTCAAACTTCATAGGATGATTGTCCATATTGGGCAAAAGACCCCTATTGATTTTGGGGTCACAAGGTCAAAGGTCAAGGTCACTATTACCTTGATACTTAAAACAGTTTCCGGAGCATAACTTAAGTTCGAATTGACCCACAGTGATCAAAACTTCATAGGATGATTGTCCATATTAGGTAGAAGACCCCTATTGATTTTGGGGTCAAAAGGTCAAGGGTCAAGGTCACTATATCCTATAAACTGAAAACAGTTTCTGGAGCATAACTTAAGTTCCATTTGGCCCACAATATTCAAACCTTATAGGATGATTGTCCATATTGGGTAGAAGACCCCTATTGATTTTGGGGTCACTAGGTCAAAGGTCAAGGTCACAATTACCTTAAAACCAAAAAACAGTTTCCGGGGCATAACGTAAGTTCCATTTGGCCCACAATATTCAAACTTCGTAGGATGATTTTGTCCATATTGGGTAGAAGACCCCTATTGATTTTGGGGTCACAAGGTCAAGGTCAATGTCACTTTTACCTTAATACTGAAAACAGTTTCTAGAGCATAATTAACGTTCCAATTGGCCAACAATATTCAAACTTCTTAGGATGATTGTCCATATAAGGTAGAAGACCCCTATTGATTTTGGGGTCAAAAGGTCAAAGGTTAAGGTCATTATTAATAACTTTAGTATTAATCAACCTACAGCTGTAAAATTTTATAGGATGAACAGCTAATTCCCATGTCTTATAAATGCTTCATCCTTATTAAAAAAAAAACACTTTCGGGCATATAATGCTCCGCCTAGCGGTGCTCTTGTTTTTGTTTTTTTTACAAATTTGTGGTTTTGTATATTTACATAAGCTTAAATAATATTTTATGTGGACTGATTTTCAGAACTTTACTGTTTTATATATACAGTCAGATCTGTGTATCATGACACCTTAGCTTAAAGACCGTTAAAACAATTATAGGAAACCTGGCACATACAGCCAGCATTTTAAAACAATTATAACAGATTGTGACGGTTAACTAGTCACATAATTTCATCACCTTCCCACACAGATTTTACTGTACATATATAACTTGTATATTTTACTATATCTAACAATGTTTACTTATATTAATAATTTTGATAACTAATTTAAACTTCTGTAGAGAATTGATCATTGTTTGATATAACTTCTCTGATATGAAGTTTGATACATATGCCGGTAAGTTTCAGTTAATTTCAACTCTAATTCTTATTTTTACACTTTTGGAAAACGTACATGACTGTCTGTGTAAGAATGTAGCAATATGAAAGTTATGAAAAGCAAAATAAAAAAATAAAAACAAACATAGAAAGTTTGAATTTTTGTATATTTTAGATTTGTAAGGTATTGGATATATCTTTGCTATTGTATCTTTTGTAAAGGGACATTCATAAGTTGACTACAACCAGAAGTCATGTTTGTACTCCAATGTTGTTAAATGTCGGTAATAATATATGTTTCTATTAATAATACTGATGTTACATCTATTTATAGATTTAATTCAACTGAAACTGATATAAGATCTATTAATAGAATAGATTTCATTGAATAGAAGCTGATGTAAGATCTATTTATAGATTTCCTTGAATAGAAGCTGATGTAAGATCTATTTATAGATTCCTTGAATAGGAGCTGATGTAAGATCTATTTATAGATTTTGTTGTAAAGATGCTGATATAAGATCTATTTATAGATTCAGTGATGTTCCAGAGGAGCAGGAAGTTCTGCATGTAGCAGAGAATGAGACAGAAGAAAAGATATATGATGATTTATGCTCTTTAAAACGTTCACATGGGTCACAGGTACACTAGTAACAATGTCATGTGATTACTGATACTATATACATGCTGAAAGAGCAACAATATTACACTCTTTTAGGTTTATAATAAAGGTTTAATTTTTTATGAGTATATCTCTACATAGTTAAGGACAATCTATTATAACTGCAATGTGATGGCTACATGAACTTGTAGTGCACCGTGAGTAACACCTAGCACCCGGTTTAAAACATGTAAAGTATGTAGAGACATAAAGTTGTAGAGATAAATTGTTGCTCTTTCAAGCCAAGGTTACAGGGACACAGTAACAGCTAGACAGACAAATTGTTTATAGGACAGTACACAGATCAGGTAAATGGTTCAAAACAAACAGGAAATGTTAGCTAGCTAGACATTTAAACCAGTAATTTGTGAAACAAATTGTGCAAAACTATTCCTTCTGTTTCATATGATATTAATATGATACTGTAAACTGTCACAACCACTTGTTAAAGAGTAGTTATTTCTTGATTGACAACTGCACACATCAATGGTATTTATTTGTGGTAGTTTTACCACTCATTAACTGTTGGCTGGTAAGTGACATATAAACTAAACTATTACTGTACCAAACATCAAGATGAATATGATAATTTCACAGAATGTGACTGTGTCAAAATAACAAGTGACTGTGTCAAAATAACAAGTGACTGTGTTAAAATAATAAGTGACTGTGTCAAAATAACACATGACTGTGTCAAAATAACACATTACTGTGTCAAAATAACACATGACTGTGTCAAAATAACAAGTGACTGTGTCAAAATAACACATGACTGTGTCAAAATAACACATTACTGTGTCAAAATAACACATTACTGTGTCAAAATAACAAGTGACTGTGTCAAAATAACACATGACTGTGTCAAAATAAGACAAATGTTTTAGCAATATTATTTTAATTTAGTTAAGAAAGATAAATGAATTATCAAAAGGTTTACATATCAATACAATTATATAAGAACATCAGGTCTCTGTTATCATTTGTTACAGTGTGAATAGTTTTGAACAAAAATGTAAGTCAGGCTGTTTTAGGAAGTTAGGATATAGTAAGGTAAAATCACTTGTAGTTAAAGGGGTGCTTCTGTACAGGGAACAAAGTAAAGTGATGAGACATGGTGAGTACAGAAAACAATGTTGTTACAGACTTTCCATTCTTTTTACTGAAAAGTCCTCTTAATTTTATCAAACTATCATACAGTGAAGCTGGGTGAATTGCCATGCAATATGTTTACAGCAACAAACTTCTTTAATTAATTCCTTTTTCATAATTTTTGGGTTATTTTATGAAATGACCCAGCCTCTATTATATCGAATGGAATCTTTGTGTCATAGTATAAATATTCTACAAATGAAACCCAAAACATCATGTCATATTTCCCAATCATCCCTGTTTACTCATGATTGTGTGTGAGTTTTGCTCCTGCAAGAAACATTTTTGTGAGTTAAACAAAGCAAGATAGTTATATCAACATTTAACTAGCAGGAAAAAAATTTGTCAGTATCCTTCACTTCATGATCCTAATTTGTCATTGATGTTCTTGGATTGTCTACCAACATTGTTTTCATGTTAGAATCATTTGATTGTTATATCTGTGACCCAGGTGAGCATGTTTTAACTGTTATTTTCTGTTGTTTTTCAGGTTGGTTGTGTTTTTATTTAGTTTCACCCTTTTTGCGTTTGGTTCCACCCATTAGTGTTTAGTACTGCCCTTATATATTTAGCACTGCCCACATGTGTTTAGTTCCACCCACTTGTATGTTTGGTAAACTAAGATGCAAGCATTTCTAAGAGGGCTAAAGCAAATTTTCTCAAATTCATGGTGAGCTGTACAATTAAATACAAACGTTTTGTAAGGAAAAAAAGAAGAAATTAAAAAAAAGCTGTACAACACACACCACTTAAAATCTCACTTTAAATCATGTATACACTACTTTATAATCATGTATACACTTCTTTATGCATTATACAGATGCCATACTTGTTAAGCTTATGAACTTTGAATATAGCTTGCACCTTGTGAAAAAAGTCAAAGTTCAAAACATCGTTATATCTATGAAAACTAAGAATCTGTCAGTTGTAATATCTGTAAGAGATTGTATTATCCTGGAAAACAATTTTTCAGTTTGACAGAATTATAAAATTTATGAATATTTGAAACTTTAGAAACATTTAAGATCTTTGACTTTTTGTATAACATTATTAGTACAGAATGTCATAATGCTGGTGAAAATAAGATGAGTATGATAATAATAATAATTTTACAAAGCCAATTGCATAATTAATGAATACTTTAATCTCTTTCACCTCTCATTAATTAATAAACCTGTATTGAACTGCTTTTCTTGATCATCTTCCATTTATATAATAAATTTGTACGTAACTTCTTTACTCTGTCACCTCCTATTCATGAATTAATCCTGTATGGAACTCCATTACTCTGTCATCTCCCATTCATGAAGTAATCTTGTATGGAACTTTATTACTCTGTCACCTCCCATTCATGAATTAATCATGTATGGAACTCCATTACTCTGTCACCTCCCATTCATGAATTAATCTTGTATGGAACTCCTTTACTCTGTCACCTCCCATTCATGAATTAATCTTGTATGAAACTTCTTTACTCTGTCACATCACATTCATGAATTAATCTTGTGAGAAACTCCCTTGCTCTGTCACATCCCATTCATGAATCAATCTTGTATGGAACTTTATTACTCTGTCACCTCCCATTCATGAATTAATCATGTATGGAACTCCATTACTCTGTTCATCTCCCATTCATGAATTAATCTTGTATGGAACTTTATTACTCTGTCACCTCCCATTCATGAATTAATCATGTATGGAACTCCATTACTCTGTCATCTCCCATTCATGAATTAATCTTGTATGGAACTTTATTACTCTGTCACCTCCCATTCATGAATTAATCATGTATGGAACTCCATTACTCTGTCACCTCCCATTCATGAATTAATCTTGTATGGAACTCCTTTACTCTGTCACCTCCCATTCATGAATTAATCTTGTATGAAACTTCTTTACTCTGTCACATGACATTCATGAATTAATCTTGTGAGAAACTCCCTTGCTCTGTCACCTCCCCATTCATGAATCAATCTTGTATGGAACTTTATTACTCTGTCACCTCCCATTCATGAATTAATCATGTATGGAACTCCATTACTCTGTCACCTCCCATTCATGAATTAATCTTGTATAGAACTTTATTACTCTGTCACCTCCCATTCATGAATTAATCATGTATGGAACTCCATTACTCTGTCATCTCCCATTCATGAATTAATCTTGTATGGAACTTTATTACTCTGTCACCTCCCATTCATGAATTAATCTTGTATGGAACTCTATTACTCTGTCATCTCCCATTCATGAATTAATCTTGTATGGAACTCCTTTACTCTGTCATGTCCCATTCATGAATTAATCTTGTATGAAACTTCTTTACTCTGTCACATCACATTCATGAATTAATCTTGTGAGAAACTCCCTTGCTCTGTCACCTCACATTCATGAATTAATCTTGTATGGAACTCATTTATTCTGTCACCTCCAATTCATGAATTAATCTTGTATAAAACTCCATTACTCTGTCACCTCCCATTAATAAATAAATCTTGAAATGGAACTCCTTTACTCTGTCACCTCTCATTCATGAATTAATCTTGTATGGAACTCATTTATTTTGTCACCTCACATTCATGAATTAATCTTGTATGGAACTCATTTACTCTGTCACCTCCCATTCATGAATTAATCTTGTATGGAACTCCATTACTCTGTCACCTCTCATTCATGAATTAATCTTGTATGGAACTCATTTATTCTGTCACCTCTCATTCATGAATTAATCTTGTATGAAACTTCTTTACTCTGTCACCTCACATCTTGTTATGAACTCCTTTATTCTGTCCCCTCCCATTAATAAATTAATCTTTAATGAAACTCCCTTACTTTGTCACCTCCCATTCATGAATTAATCTTGTTTGGAACTCCTTTTCTCTATCACCTAGAATTAAATAAATTCATTAAATTACTTTTTGCTGTCACTTAAAGTTAGTGAATTAAACTAGTTTAAAACGACTTTTCTCTGTTATTCAACATTAATAAATTAATCATGAAGGAACTACTTTTTCTCTGTCACATTGCATTAGAAGCATCCATTGTTATGATTTTTGTTTTATTTTAGGTTATGTAACATTTTTCAGTTTCTGTGTATGCTAGTTTAGTTTATATTTAAGTTGATTATTGTTACCTCCCACCAGTTGTTGTTGTAATTTTATTATTTGCCCTTGTATAGTGACCATGACATTGAAGATAATGAAGATTTGTATGATTCTGTGTACCAGGAAGGGGGAGATGATGAGATATATGAGGACCTATGCTCAACTAAACGCACGAGACATAAACAATCTAGGGTCAGCACAAGTAGTGTATGTATAATTTTGTTTTATTTTATCTGACAGAACGGAAACTCTAAAACGTGTTTGTGAGATGTAAGTATGATAAGAAATAAAGGGGAGCAGATTATTTATTATTGTTATTTTTGGGTATTGAAAAACAAAAATTAGACATTCAGTCATCATGTATGCTTACAAATAATTGTCTACAAAAATATATATTCAGTGATTAGATATGGTAGAAATATAATAACATTTACATATGTAGTGATGATTTCAATCATCTGAGACCACAAGTAACAGTCTCTACACTTTGAGTTGTTGAACATTGATTTATTTCATTTCATTCTGAAGTCGACCATTTTATACAAAATACTGCACTTTACAGAAACAACTTAACAAAATTAGCTCTTGACTTGCTGACTTTGTGTAAAAATATTGCTTAGCTATGAATTTTAGAACAGTCCAATGTAAATTTAACAGACTTCAATAAGAAATACACAAAAAAAATAATTGAGTCCGTTGGGCGTCTGTGGCCGAGTGGTTAAGGTTGTTGACTTCAAACCACTTGCCCCTCACTGCTGTGGGTTTGAATCCTGACAGGGACTTTGGATTCTTTCATGTGAGGAAGCTATCAAGCTAGCTTACGGAACGTCGGTGGTTCTACTCAAGTACCGGTTCGTGCCTGAAATAGTGCATGGAAGGGCACCTGAGGTCTTCCTCCATCAGTAAAGCTGGAATGTCGCAATATGACATATACAGTGTCGATGTGACATGAAACCAAACCATACAAACAAACAAACATTGAGCCTGGTCAGACTGCACAGAAATACAGGCTGGTCTGGCTCTATACTAGTGTAAATATAGTGTAATATAATACAAATGTTTATATATACAGGTATCTGAGTTACCACCACCAACAACAAAGAGAGATTATTGTATTAAAGAGATGGTTGATACAGAGAGAAATTATGTTGATGCCCTCAGAATGATAGTCATGGTATCTATAAACTTATTAACTTTATATACATTTTCACAAACTGGTTATTAGGGGAAGTCAAAGGCTGGGTCCGGGCTCTGGCTTGCCCGGCTATAGACTACATGTGTATATTAAAAAGGAAATAATAAAAAAAAAAATTAAAAATATAAAAAATTCTATACATATCAATGAAATTTTCAGTGTCAGTTCTAGTTGGATGCCGCCATTTTCAATGTAACTCAATGAAAATGGGCGAGGTATTCTGTTAACAGACAATCACAACTTTTCGGATAAATGATAATCATCCAGTTTTTTGAGTGAAAACGGAAGCAATGCATTAAATACTGAAATTCAAAAGTTAACCAATGATAAAATCATAGTGTAAAACCAATTGTACATTATAGTGTAAAGCCAATTGTACATAAACTGTTAACAAAGTGACAGTGAGCTTTTGTGATCGTTTTTCGTCCGACGTCCGTCTGGCATCTGTTGTCCGTAAACTTTTACTTTAAATTACATCTCCTCATAAACCACTAAGCCAATTTCATCCAAACTTCACAGGAATGTTCCTTTGGTGGTCACCTTTGAAAATTGTTCAAAGAATTGCCATGGCAACCAAGAGAAAAAACTTTAAATATCTTTTTCTAAAAAACCTAAAGAGCTAGAGCTTAGATATTTGGCATGAAACATCTTCTAGTGGGTGTCTACCAAGGTTGTTCAAAAGCCCTGGGGTCAAAATTGGCCCCACCCCAGGGGGTCATTGATTTTTCCTATATGCATATAGTAAAAACTTAAAAAATACTCTTTTTAAAGAACCCAAAGAGCTAGAGTGTAGATATTTAGCATGAAACATCTTCTAATGCGTGTTTACCAAGTTTGTTCAAATAAAAGCCCTGGGGTCAAAATTGGCCCCACCCCAGGGGGTCATTGATTTTCCCTATATGCATATAGTAAAAACTTTAAAAAATCTTCTGTTAAAGAACCAAAAGAGCTAGAGCTAAGATATTTAGCATGAAACATGTTCTAATGGAAGTCTACCAAGTTTGTATAAATAAGAGCCCTGGGGTCAAAATTGGCCCTGTCCGGGTGTCATTGATTTTCCTTATATGTGTATAGCAAGAACTTAAAAAATTTTATTTGAAAAAAACCAAATAGCTAGAGTTTAGATATTAAGAACGAAGCATCTTCTAGTGAGTGTCTACAAAGTTTGTTCAAATAAAAGCCCTGGGGTCAAAACTGGCCCTGCCCCAGGTGTGTCATTGTCTTATATGTATATATGTGTAAAGAAAAACCTTAAAAAAATCTTCTTTTCAAAAACCCAACCAGCTAGACATAAGATGTGTAGCATAAAACATGTTCTAGTGAGTGTCTACCAAGTTTGTTCAAATAAAAGCCCTGGGGTTTAAACTGGCCCTGCTCAGGGCCTATATACAGGTGAGCGACTTCTGGGCCATCATGGCCCTCTTGTTTGATTATGAGTGCTTGCCTGGAAGTAAACATGTAATATTGTGATCCTGGGAAAAGAAATAAGTGTCTACTTCTTTGATATGTTAGCATTATTAAAAACAAAATAATTGATATATAGAATTATGATGTTATTATATACTGGCATTATTTTTTATTTACTTTTCATTTCAGCAATTTATCAAGCCTATGAAATCAGTGATATCCCACACAGACAAGGAGATCATTTTCTCACAAATCGAGGTAATCCTTTATGACATTTCCTAAAATCTGGTCACATGGAGGTATTTCTTCATGTTTCCTTGTTTATTACAGATATACCAAGATCTGTAAACACTCTACCACTTGGTGTCTTCACTTTAATTAATGTAAACACTTTACCACTTGGTGTCTTCATTTTGATTAATGCACAGATGATATTGGGTAGTATTGTCTTTGTACAATTTTTGTTGTAAGCTTACACAAACCCCATTTCAGTTTTCCTCATTCATTGAACAGACACTATAAATAATTTCTTAGGAAATGAGTGAAATAAAGTTGATTATTTATCTGTTACAGACTATGTTAGAGGTACATACAGGTTTTCATGCAGAATTACACCGAGCTTGTACCACAGATAAACCAAAAATACACGAGGTATTCGTTAAATGGAAGCCCAAGTTACTTATTTATGGAGACTATTGTTCAAATTTACCAAAAGCTCAAGAACACATAGAGGAATTGACAAAGAAAAATGAACAAGTCAAAGAAAAAATAGAGGTAAGTTCACATTCTGATAAGGTTATACTCCACTGATGGCAGTTTTGAAAATTCCTTGATACAAATCTTACTTTATGTTAAGTAGTTAACATACTTTCAACATTGTCTAAGTGGCCTGGCTACAGTGCTTATAAAGATAACCTAGCTGTACACTATTGTCCTAGACAAATCATTGTAAGGACAACATAACTGGCCTGACTTTATACTTTTGTCCTAGACAAATCATTGTAAGGATAACATAACTGGCCTGACTTTATACTATTGTTCTAGACAAATCATTGTAAGGATAACAGAACTGGCCTGACTTTATACTATTGTCCTAGACAAATCATTGTAAGGACAACATCACTGGCCTGACTTTATACTATTGTCCTAGACAAATCATTGTAAGGACAACATCACTGGCCTGACTTTATACTATTGTCCTAGACAAATCATTGTAAGAATAACATCACTGGCCTGACTTTATACTATTGTCCTAGACAAATCATTGTAAGGATAACATCACTGGCCTGACTTTATACTATTGTCCTAGACAAATCATTGTAAGGACAACATAACTGGCCTGACTTTGTACTATTGTCTTAGACAAATCATTGTAAGGACAACATCACTGGCCTGACTTTGTACTATTGTCTTAGACAAATCATTGTAAGGATAACATCACTGGTCTGACTTTATAATATTGTCCTAGACAAATCATTGTAAGGATTACCTAACTGGCCTGGCTTTATACTATTGTCCTAGACAAATCATTGTAAGGATAACAGAACTGGCCTGGCTTTATACTATTGTCCTAGACAAATCATTGTAAGGATAACAGAACTGGCCTGACTTTATACTATTGTCCTAGACAAATCATTGTAAGGATAACAGAACTGGCCTGACTTTATACTATTGTCCTAGACAAATCATTGTAAGGATAACAGAACTGGCCTGACTTTATACTATTGTACTAGACAAATCATTGTAAGGATTACCTAACTGGCCTGGCTTTATACTATTGTCCTAGACAAATCATTGTAAGGATAACAGAACTGGCCTGACTTTATACTATTGTCCTAGACAAATCATTGTAAGGATTACCTAACTGGCCTGGCTTTATATTATTGTCCTAGACAAATCATTGTAAGGATAACAGAACTGGCCTGGCTTTATACTATTGTCCTAGACAAATCATTGTAAGGATAACAGAACTGGCCTGACTTTATACTATTGTCCTAGACAAATCATTGTAAGGATAACAGAACTGGCATGACTTTATACTATTGTCCTAGACAAATCATTGTAAGGATAACAGAACTGGCATGACTTTATACTATTGTCCTAGACAAATCATTGTAAGGATAACAGAACTGGCCTGGCTTTATACTATTGTCCTAGACAAATCATAGTAAGGATAACAGAACTGGCCTGACTTTATACTATTGTCCTAGACAAATCATAGTAAGGATAACAGAACTGGCCTGACTTTATACTATTGTGCTAGACAAATCATTGTAAGGATAACAGAACTGGCCTGACTTTATACTATTGTCCTAGACAAATCATTGTAAGGATAACAGAACTGGACTGACTTTATACTATTGTCCTAGACAAATCATTGTAAGGATAACAGAACTGGCCTGACTTTATATTATTGTCCTAGACAAATCATTGTAAGGATAACAGAACTGGCCTGACTTTATACTATTGTCCTAGACAAATCATTGTAAGGATAACAGAACTGGCCTGACTTTATACTATTGTCCTAGACAAATCATTGTAAGGATAACAGAACTGGCCTGACTTTATACTATTGTCCTAGACAAATCATTGTAAGGATTACTTAACTGGCCTGGCTCTACTATTGTCCTAGGAAAGTTATTGTCACCTTTAGTATTATACAGACTTTAATGTTATACTGCTGTTCGTGTTGAATGAAATATACAAATAGTTGTATGAGTTATGGTAAACTGTGTCTGGCTTGAATATTAAAATTTGTTGATATGTCAAATTGTGTTTGTTTTTACTACACTATTATAGTTGTCGGAATGACATAGTGAAATACTTAACCAAGTAATATAATGGAAGGTTTAACAGTTATATATATATTTAGTTTACCTATTACAGGAATGTGAGAGGGATGCTAATGAAGCCAGATTCCGCCTGCGAGATTTGTTACACGTGCCCATGCAGCGAGTTCTAAAATATCATCTCTTGTTAAGAGTATGTACAACTGATTATTATACTTCAACTTCCATAGTTATACCCCCGCACAACAAAGTTGTAAGGGGGGTATACTGGAATCAGCTTGTCCGCACTCACAGGAGAGTAATTATGTGGCTAGAGGGACAATAGGTAACTGTTCTTTCTCTTTGATGTCATTCATTCCGTAATGCTTTTATGTGGCTATTTTCTTTTGCGTGGCTAAAAAGAACAATAGAGAGAACAATAGAGTAGCCACATAATTACTGTCCTGTGAGAACGTCCGGCCGTCCGTGCGGCTGTCCGTCGGTTTCTTGTCCGCCCAATAACTTAAGATTCCTTTGACCCTTAGTCTTCATATTTGGCATGGAGGTTAGTCATGATTAGTAGATGACCCCTATTGATTTTGAGGTCAAAGGTCTAGGTCACAGGGGCCTTGACTTCAAAAAGCGTGTTCGCCCAATAACTTAAGATTCCTTTGACCTACAGTCTTCATATTTGGCATGGAGGTAAGTCATGATTAGTAGATGACCCCTATTGATTTTGAGGTCACCAGGTCAAAGGTCAAGGTCACAGGGGCCTTGACTTCAAAAAGCTTGTCCGTCCAATAACTTAAGATTCCTTTGACCCACAGTCTTCATATTTGGCATAGAGGTTAGTCATGATTAGTAGATGACCCCTATTGATTTTGAGGTCAAAGGTCAAGGTCACAGGGGCCTTTACTTCAAAAAGCTTGTCCGCCCAATAACTTAAGATTCCTTTGACCCATAGTCTTCATATTTGGCATGGAGGTTAGTCATGATTAGTAGATGACCCCGATTGATTTTGAGGTCACCAGGTCAAAGGTCAAGGTCACAGGGGCCTTGACTTCAAAAAGCTTGTCCGCCCAATAACTTAAGATTCCTTTGACCCACAGTCTTCATATTTGGCATGGAGGTTAGTCATGATTAGTAGATGACCCCTATTGATTTTGAGGTCACCAGGTCAAAGGTCAAGGTCACAGGGACTTTGACTTCAAAAAGCTTGTCCGCCCAATCACTTAAGATTCCTTTGACCCACAGTCTTCATATTTGGCATGGATGTTGGTCATGATTAGTAGATGACCCCTATTTATTTTGAGGTCAAAGGTCAAGGTCACAGGGACTTTGACTTCAAAAAGTTTGTCTGCCCAATAACTTTAGATTCCTTTGACCCACAGTCTTCATATTTGGCATGGATGTTGGTCATGACTATAAGGAGACCCCTATTGATTTTGAGGTCACTGGGTCAAAGGTCAAGGTCACAGGGACCTTGACAAAAAAAGCTTTTCTTCTCAATTGCTAAAGTATGTCCTGTCCGCAATGTATTGATTTTGACATTTTCACATTTGAAGCATGTAGAATACATAACTTAGCAATGCACTGGCTTACTTACCTCAGATTTGGCAGGGAGGTTGTCCTTGAGCTCTAAATGGCCACTGTTGATTCTGACAAAGTGGTATGCGGGGGTATTCACGCCATGATAGTGGCAGTTCTAGTTCTAATACGTCTATTGTATACACCAGGGGTGTTTTTTGCTTAGTGATTTAAGGTCACTAGCTTTTAAACTACTCCATAATGGTCATAGAATAAGTTGGAGGTTTTATTATTATATCAGATTGTACAGGAAGTAATTCATAGTGTGGCACTTGATTTATATGAATTTGGACCAAATGTACTTCTTTTTATTGATTTTTGTTTTTCAATTACTTTCATATGCTTAACATGATACAAAAAAAAAAGGATTGGAAGTGGTAGCTCTTCAGTGCCCAAATATTTAAATTGTTGTATATACAGCACCTGAATACTTAAATTGTTGTATATACAGCACCTGAATACTTAAATTGTTGTATATACAGCACCCATATGCTTAAATTGTTATATATACAGCACCTGAATACTTAAATTGTTGTATATACAGCACCCATATGCTTAAATTGTTGTATATACAGCACCCATATGCTTAAATTGTTATATATACAGCACCTGAATACTTAAATTGTTGTATATACAGCACCTGAATACTTAAATTGTTGTATATACAGCACCCATATGCTTAAATTGTTATATATACAGCACCTGAATACTTAAATTGTTGTATATACAGCACCCATATGCTTAAATTGTTATATATACAGCACCTGAATACTTAAATTGTTGTATATACAGCACCTGAATACTTAAATTGTTGTATATACAGCACCTGAATACTTAAATTGTTGTATATACAGCACCCATATGCTTAAATTGTTATATATACAGCACCTGAATACTTAAATTGTTATATATACAGCACCTGAATACTTAAATTGTTGTATATACAGCACCTGAATACTTAAACTGTTATATATACAGCACCCATATGCTTAAATTGTTGTATATACAGCACTTTATACATCAATTATTGTATATACAGCACTTAAATACATCAATTATTGTATATACGGCACTTAAATACATCAATTGTTGTATATACGGCACTTTAATACATCAATTGTTGTATATACAGCACTTTAATACATCAATTGTTGTATATACAGCACTTTAATACATCAATTATTGTATATACAGCACCCAATTACTTTAGTTGTTGTATATACAGCACTCAAATACTACAATAGTTGTATATACAGCACTTTAATACATCAATTATTTTATATACAGCACCCAAATACTACAATTGTTGTATATACATCACTTTAATACATCAATTATTTTAAATATTGATGAAGTATATAATTAACAGAAAATTTAAGTTTTTTTTTCTATAAATACAGGATTTATTTTCATTGAGTGGTATGAAAATTACATATTTCACTCATGGCTCTCGCTGCTCATGAATTATTTATTTTCATTCCACCTCAATGAAAATAAATCCAGTGTTTATACAAAAAACTTGAATATCTTGGATGTATATACAGCACATAAATTGTTATATATCATGTAAATGTTTTACAGGAGTTAATAAAGAATACAGATCGGGCTGTCAATGATGTATCATCACTACAGATAGCACTTGAAGCCATGCAGGATCTCTCTCTTTATGTAAATGAAGTGAAGCGTGACAACGAGGTTTTGCAACTCATACAAGATATACAAAATAGTATTACAGATTTACAAATGGTAAACAGTGAAATCAGAATATGTTACATTGTTTTTAATTAAGAATTAGAATTGTATTTGTGTTTAGTATTATGTAATTTTAAATGTTTCAAGAAATTTCATGTTGAATTTTAGCTGTTAGAATTAAAATTGTTCAACTCCAGTTTAAGGAAATGCACTGACATCCGGAAGTCTAAAAAAGATAAACAATAATTTTTTTCTTAAATAGATCAACTATGGCACTGCTAACAAAAGGAGTAGCAAAATTTAATAAGATACATGTATATTTACCTAGAATGAAATAGAAATTTGTATTTAAGTGTGAGTCCCGATCTAGTTCGAGTTAAATCAAATGATCTGAAATTTTGCTTAAATGTATTGGTGCAAACGTTCATCAAATGGTACACAAATCTAAAAAAATATATATATGTGCCACTGGTGATCTACATGTATGTTTTCAGACTTAGACCTGAGTAGAATTTTTCTTTAATGATTTGAAGTATATCTTATTCTGCAAGTCACATTGTCAGTTATGTTAGAGACAAAAATGTGAATATTTTAAACTTTTGGACACAAAATATGTCATATTATGATTATTTTCACTTTCAGCCATAGAATATGTCATTTCATGATTATTTTCACTTTTAGCCACAGAATACGTCATTACGTGATTATGGGAAGTTACAGAAGGATGGTGAACTGAAGGTGCGGTCACATGTAGATAATAAAGTTAGACAAAGGTTAGGAATAACAATATTTTTATTATTAAGATAGGGCAGTAATTTGTAGCAGGTTTCTGTCCATACATTTATACCATATTGAGAGACAATTAATATGCACAATTTACAGGCAAGATGTCAAATAAAACTTTGCCTTAAAGTCATTGACTTCAAACCACTTGACTCTCACTGTTGTAGGTTCGAGTAAATCAAGCATCTTTTATGTTTTCGAGTGAGAAAGATATCCAGTTGGCTTACGTAACGTTTGTAGTTCTACTTAGGTGCCTGTTTGTACCTGAAATAATGCACAAAGGGGCACCAGAGGGCTTCCTCCAGCAGTATAGCTGAAAAGTCATCAGGTGTGAGGTAAAACCCAACCACTAACAACTACTTTAACCAAATCTGGATTCTTTTAAATCTGGCTTCATTTAGATTTAAATCCTACCTGGATCTCCTTCATGTGAGAACACTATACAACTAGCTTATAAGATATGAAGAAGTTTAAGCCAGGAGCACGCATTTATCTAGAATAATACACTAAAAACTTACCCCTAACAATTAAAATTGGTGTCAGATGACAGATGGGAAACATATATACTGTGGTTCTACCCAGATACCTTTTAATGCCTGGAATAAAAGTACAAAGTGTAATCCTTACAAATAAATAAAAACACTTGTGTTCTAATATATTCTGTTTAATTAAGTCTGTTAATTTGATTTATTTTCATAATTACTGTTACCTTGATGACAAGATATGTGTGTTGTATTTCTGTAGGGGACTCAGGTATATGACTGTTACTGTTACCTTGCAATATTTCTGCTGATGTATTTGGACAGGCTGTGCTATCACATTCAGGGCTTTTTGATCAGTGGATTTTTAACCATGACTTGCTGATCAGGTCTGAATGTCACATGTCTGTCAACCGTGACTTGCTGATCAGGTCTGAATGTCACATGTCTGTCAACCTTGACTTACTGATCAGGTCTGAATGTCACATGTCTGTCAACCTTGACTTACTGATCAGGTCTGAATGTCACATGTCTGTCAACCTTGACTTGCTGATCAGGTCTGAATGTCACATGTCTGTCAACCGTGACTTGCTGATCAGGTCTGAATGTCACACGTCTGTCAACCTTGACTTGCTGATCAGGTCTGAATGTCACATGTCTGTCAACCGTGACTTGCTGATCAGGTCTGAATGTCACATGTCTGTCAACCGTGACTTGCTGATCAGGTCTGAATGTCACACGTCTGTCAACCTTGACTTACTGATCAGGTCTGAATGTCACATGTCTGTCAACCTTGACTTACTGATCAGGTCTGAATGTCACATGTCTGTCAACCACGACTTGCTGATCAGGTCTGAATGTCACACGTCTGTCAACCTTGACTTGCTGATCAGGTCTGAATGTCACATGTCTGTCAACCGTGACTTGCTGATCAGGTCTGAATGTCACATGTCTGTCAACCGTGACTTGCTGATCAGGTCTGAATGTCACATGTCTGTCAACCTTGACTTACTGATCAGGTCTGAATGTCACATGTCTGTCAACCTTGACTTACTGATCAGGTCTGAATGTCACATGTCTGTCAACCGTGACTTGCTGATCAGGTCTGAATGTCACATGTCTGTCAACCTTGACTTGCTGATCAGGTCTGAATGTCACATGTCTGTCAACCGTGACTTGCTGATCAGGTCTGAATGTCACATGTCTGTCAACCGTGACTTGCTGATCAGGTCTGAATGTCACATGTCTGTCAACCTTGACTTACTGATCAGGTCTGAATGTCACATGTCTGTTAACTGTGACTTGCTGATCAGGTCTGAATGTCACATGTCTGTTAACCGTGACTTGCTGATCAGGTCTGAATGTCACATGTCTGTCAGCCTTGACTTACAGATCAGGTCTGAATGTCACATGTCTGTCAGCCTTGACTTACAGATCAGGTCTGAATGTCACATGTCTGTCAACTGTGACTTGCTGATCAGGTCTGAATGTCACATGTCTGTCAATCTACAGCTTTTTGATTATCTACCAGATTATAAAACCTAAACACTTATCTGTATACTCCTTTAATTTCCTGCTGTAACCTTTCAATACTGTAAACAAGTTTATACAGTCATATATATATTAAATTGCTCTCACTACTACAACGCATTGATATCTAAAATCACTCCCACAAGCAGTTCATTGATATATTTTAGTCACTTCAAAATACAGTTTATCACATTCAAACCTTAAGTGCCTCCTAAAAGATGTTTCTCATTTAAACCTTTATTAAGTCACTCCCACAAGTTTATTTCATTGGTATCTTAAATCTTTCACGGAAGAAGTTAATCTCATTTATATTTCACATCACTTCCCCATGCAGTTTATCTCATTATATCTCTATTAGTAACTAACAGCATAATGCAGTTGATGGCTTTGGTATCCTAAATCCTTCCCAAAGCAATTTATAGCATTGGTATCCTAAATCACTTTCAAAGCAATTTATCTCATTGGTATCCTAAGTCACTCCCAAAGCAATTTATCTCATTGGTATCCTAAATCCCTCCCAAAGCAATTTATCTCATTGGTATCCTAAATCCCTCCCAAAGCAATTTATCTCATTGGTATCCTAAATCCCTCCCAAAGCAATTTATCTCATTGTTGTCCTAAATCACTCCCAAAGCAATTTATCTCATTGGTATCCTAAATCCCTCCCAAAGCAATTTATCTCATTGGTATCCTAAATCCCTCCCAAAGCAATTTATCTCATTGTTGTCCTAAATCACTCCCAAAGCAATTTATCTCATTGGTATCCTAAATCACTCCCAAATAATTTATCTCATTGGTATCTCTATAAGTATCTTACATCACGCCTGTACAAAGTTTATCTTTTTGGTATCCCAAGTCTCTCCCTATCTCATTGGTATCCTAAATCACAACAAATGCAGATTATCTTAAGGATATCTTAAATCACTATGACATGCAATTTATCTCATTTGTAACTCACATCACTCCCAAATACAATGTATCTCATTAGTATCCTAAATCACTCTCAAATGCAGTTTATCTTATTGGTATCTTACATCATTCCCACATTCAATTTTAAATCACTACCACATGCAGATATTTAAACAGTTATAAATACATTAGCTTTTTTGCAGATATTTTAGCACATGTAAACAGGAAATTAAAATTTCTTTTCTAAAATTCCAGCCATGTAATGATTATTTTCAATTTCAAGTTTCATTTGTAGAAATAAATCAGTATTACTAAAAACTTTTTTTTAAACCTATAAAATGCTCAATGTATTCATAAAAGTTATTTTGCTGTTATACAAATTACTTGTATGCATTACTTTTCATACAAAATCTTTTCTCAGATGCACAATATAAAAACAACATAGGATTTTACCAATGCCACTGGATCAACAAGTAGCCACCATTTTTGTTTCTATTTACATGTGACATAGTGAATTATATGACATTGCAGGCATTCTTGTTTGACAGTGCCTTAACATACCGAACCAAAAACTTTTGAATCTAAATCTAATATTAGATTCTAATCAGTGCACTCAGATATCATTTTAGGACAATTTTTAACTGAATAATTTTAGGGCAGTTCACAAATGAGTTATCTTAAGGCTATTCTCAACTAAATCATTTTTGGGCAGTTCTCAACTAAATTATTTTAGGACAGTTCTCAATTAAATCATTTTAGGACAGTTCCTAACTGAATCATTATAGGACAGTTCTCAACTGAATCATTTTAGGACAATTCACAAATGAATTATTTTAGGGCAGTTCTGAAATGAATTATTTTAGGTAATAATCAAAAGCTTTACAAATGAATATTTTATTATTTCAGATACATTTTCCTGTTTGACAAGGTGATGTTAATGGGAAAATCAAAGGTAGGTAACTCTTGTGTGTCGTTAACTTTTTAGTTTTGTTTTTATTGCCTCCCTTGAGAGCACATTTCTAATTGTTCTGCTTGCCTCACTCATATTGTAGTTGTTAATTTTCTGCACTGTAAACAAACTAGGTTTCCTAGCATTAAATGTTAGTATCAAGAATAAATGGACTATTAGATATAAAAACAAGAGTTTTTCAGATATTTTTTGATCTTTAGATAAGTAAAATGACATGAAATATTCACAATTATTTTGTATCTGGAAGAGTTAAAGCTCTGTAGAATCCTATATTACATATATTCTATTATCTGTCTTCCAGTTTTGTTTTTTATCAGCTTTGTATGATAATTAATCTCCTCACATAAATTGGAATTTTCTAACTTTACTGAACTTTATTTCATACTAAAAGCACAAATATCTCTTTCATTCTCAAAGACTGGTTGATGTAAAACTTAAGGCTGTTTTTATGATAAAACAAAGATTAGATTTACTTTGTATGAAATTAAACATAAAAATATACTGATTATCTTGTCCATAAATTCATTAGAATAAGTGAGAGACTTGCATACTTTGTTTTCCAAGTTGCTTAGCTAATTCAAATAATATCACACAAATTCTGAAAACTTGACAAATAACTTGTGTTGAGTCCATCACATAGATTCTGAAAACTTACCAAGATAACTTGTGTTCAGTTTATCACATGCATTTTGAAAAAATACCAACATAACTTATGTTGAGTTTATCACTAAGATTCTGAAAACCTGCAAGGTAACTTGTGTTGAATCCATCACATAGATTCTGAAAAAATACCAACATAACTTATGTTGAGCTTATTACATACATTCTGAAAAATTACAAACATAACTTGTGTTGAGTTTATTGCAAAGTCACATAGATTCTGATTAATTTCCAACATACCTAATGTTGAGATTATGGCACATGTTCTGCATCACATAGATTCTGGAAAATTACCAACATAACTTGTGTTGAGCTTATTACAGACATTCTGAAAAATTACAAACATAACTTGTGTTGAGTTTATTGCAAAGTCACATAGATTCTGATTAATTTCCAACATACCTAATGTTGAGATTATGGCACATGTTCTGAGAACTTGCCAAGATATCTTGTATTGATTTTGTCACATTGATTCTAGAATCTCGCAAAGATAACTTGAGTTGAGTCTAAGTGTTTCTTGTAAGCTGGTTGACATAATTATATAAAAACAGGACAATTTATTGGTAATAATTCAGTGGGGGGGGGGGGGTATGGATACATGTAGTTTACATTTTTGTATTGTGTGATATTGTTTATTAAATGTAGTTAGTTATAATTTAATGCTTTTTAAGAGACTAAGGTTCAGGCTAATGTATAGAATCAATGACAACATGTGTATCAGTACTGGATAATTATACAATAGAACTTTGGTAAGTCAAACTTGAAGGGACTTATGTAAAAACTTTAATGCATCAGGACTGTGACTCATGAATTGGTTTCATTTGAGCGGTCGACCTTTATTTAGTTACTAAAGGTGTAGCATATGGTCATAACTAAACCAGCTTATAGTAAATAGATATGTCATATAAGTTGATTGGCAATCAACATTGTGGCTTGAAAAGGTATGAAAATATCTTCAGAGTGAAGGTGATAAACTTTGACTTATTCATCCTTTGCAGACCAAATTAAAACTTTGAGAAATCAGAAAAATCGACATACAGAAAAATTCTACTATGATGTACAAGTTTTAATAAGGAATATATGTATAGGGTAATGAGGGTGGTAGGGGGAAAATCGGGGACTTTCATTTTACTTCAATACATCAATTAAATCAACAAATCAAAGTTTGGCACTGAAGTTCTACTGTAGTTTGGAGTCTTATTAATATATTTAATGTCTGTGTTGTAATTTAAATTTAATAAGGGTCTTTATATACATGTATATATACCAGTTATGGCTCACTAATGTTTGTAGACTTAAGATGAAAGACGTGTCTCTAGGCATGTCATATGTTTATTATCATATCATATGTATATTTCAAGTCAAACATTGTTAAATTTCCATACAACTTTAATATTATAAATAAAATGTCATGAATGATAAATTTATATATATACATGTATATACATTAAATTACATAACCAATATTTCTAACTGTTCAAATATAAAACATGTGTCCCAAAAGTTTTTTTTATGAATATTGAATGAAACTTCCTCATTTGTTAATTTTGAAGTTATATATAATCTACCAATCAGATACTAGATTTCAAATGTGCATACAAAATCCACCAATCAGATGCTAGATTTCAAAGTTTCATACAGAATCCACCAATCAGATGCAAGATAATCTAAGATTTCAAATTTGCATTAAAAGATTTTTACATATAATATATATTTCAGACTGGACCGCTTTGATTAATATTTTTAATTCTCAATGCATGTCTTTTTTTTTTCTTTTTTTTTAAATGAGTTCTTATGCAAACATTTATAGATAAAAAATACTCATTTTCTAAGAATGTAGATTTTTGTAGAAAAACACAAGCATTATTTTAAATAAAAATATTAAATACACAAAGTTATATATTCCAGCTCTTATATACATAGTGATAGAAAACTCTAATCTATAATAAGTACAATATTCTTTAGTGTAACATAGGGTTTTAACAATTTATAACTTTTTTAATGCACAATTTTTGTTTTGTTGTGAATCATATATAGCCTTGGTTCTTGTCCATCACCCACTTTAGCTACAGATTTATTGTTTTTCCTATTGTAACTGTGTTAATTATGTGACCAATAGATAGTGGACAAGTTTCTCTGGGTAAGATATTTGATGTTGTTTCACATTATTTTTTTATATGCCTTAAGGATAATGGATACCTTTGACATGTATATTTGCAATACTATACTGAATACACTAATCTCATTTTATTTTATGCCTTTGAGTGGATAATTGATATATATAAATTATATATGAGAACGACACAGTGAAAATTATTAAAATATCATTTCACACTAGCCTGAAAATTTTCCCTTGTGGTACCTCAATAATTTATAAGTAAAGCCCTTCTTTCTAAGATATGTTTGTTACATACAAAGTTAAACCAGACTGTCTATAGTGATAGGTTTAAGCAATGAAAATAGATGTTATTTTGACACAAGATCTCTATAAACAAGTATTTTTACTTAATTAAAAACAAAATAATATGGTTGGCTAATTTTAAAGGAAATGTTCCTTAAAAGTATCTAAATATAACCATAAACACAGGTTTGACTGTACTCCTTTCACATTATGAATGTACAGTTTAGACAAAGGTATCCATTTATCTTACAATCAGTATATTCAGTTGCGATTGTGTACTATCCTCACGTAAAATTTTGGGGAAGATAGGGACACGCATTGCATACAACCCTCATGTAAAATTTCAGGGGAGAAGGGACACGCATTGTGTACAACCCTCATGTAAAATTTTGGGGAAGATAGGGACAAACATGGTGTAATACCTTTCATGTAAAATTTTTGTGAAGACATGGACAAACATTGTGTACTACCCTCAAGTAAAATTTCTGGGGAGACAGGGACACACATTGTGTACTTCCCTCATGTAAAATTTTGGGGGAGACAGGGACACACATTGCATACAACCCTCATGTGAAATTTCAGGGAGACGGGGACACACATTGTATACTACCCTCATGTAAAATTGCGGGGAGATGGAGGCAGGGACACACATTGTATACTACCCTCATGTAAAATTTTGGGGAAGATAGGGACATACATGGTGTACTACCTTCATGTAAAATTTTTGTGAAGACATGGACAAACATTGTGTACTACCCTCAAGTAAAATTTCTGGGGAGACAGGGACACGCATTGTGTACTACCCTCATGTAAAATTTTGGGGAAGATAGGGACATACATTGTGTAATACCTTTCATGTAAAACTTTTGTGAAGACATGGACAAACATTGTGTACTACCCTCAAGTAAAATTTCTGGTGAGATAGGGACACACATTGTGTACTACCCTCATGTAAAATTAAGGGGAGACAGGGACACACATTGTGTACTACCCTCATGTAAAGTTTAGGGGAGACAGGGACACACATTGTATACTACCCTTATGTAAAATTTAGGGGAGACAGGGATACACATTGTGAACTACCCTCATGTAAAATTTAGGGGAGACAGGGACACACATTGTGTACTACCCTCATGTAAAATTTATGGGGAGACAGGGACACACATTGTGTACTACCCTCATGTAAAATTTTGGGAGAGACAGGGGCACACATTGTGTACTACCCTCATGTAAAATTTTGGGAGAGACAGGGACACACATTGTGTACTACCCTCATGTAAAATTTTGGGAGAGACAGGGGCACACATATAAAAAAAAAATTGGGGAACAGGAGGGGGGGAGACAGGGGCACAGAAGAAATTAGTGTTACCTTTATCATGCCATTATGGGAAGTGTCCATATTTTGTTAGAAAGAATTACAAGTGGATATGGATTGGTTTTGTGAGAAATTAAGCTTTGTTTTTGTGGTGATATTTTTTTCCTGATGTTACAATTATTAAGTACAAGGAGTGAAGTTGCATGATTAGTATATTAGTTCAGTATCACAAGCATGTTATTGTTGTTCAGTATGCAAGCCAGCATGCTATTTTACTACCCCACCCACATCAAAAGCATGGTGATTTACTACACAACCCACATGAAAGACATGGTGATTTACTACCCCACCCACATCAAAAACATGGTGATTTACTACCCCACCCACATCAAAAACATGGTAATTTACTACCCCACCACATCAAAGATATGGTGATTTACTACCCCACCCACATCAAAAACATTGTGATTTACTACCCCACCCACATCAAAAACATGGTGATTTACTACCCCACCTCATCCAAGATATGATGAGTTACTACCCCACCCACATCAAAAACATTGTGATTTACTACCCCACCTACATCAAAATAATGATAATTTACTACCCCATCCACATAAAAAAAACATGGCATTCTTTCCCATCCCTACACCAAACAAAATAACTATGTGAATTTTCTACTGCTACTTTATTTAATCTGTAACAAATGGGGGATATTTTACATGCTCTAAGCCGTGATTTCTTGCAGACTTTACATTTTAATGAAAACTTTCACCTGAAGACACATGTAAATCACCCACATCAAAAACATTGTGATTTACTACCCCACCCACATCAAAAACATTGTGATTTACTACCCACCCACATTAAGTGACAGTGCACTTATTTATCTCTAATTTATATTTAACATTTTATAAGTTTTTTACATTTTAATTGAGAAATCTGTTGTTGTTTTTTATTATGTGACATATTTTATTTTTTAATTAAACGGTCAAGATTAATAGCATCTTACAAAAGTATAATATTTTTTGGTGGGGTAAGAAGGAAGGGTTTGATAAATTAAATATTTAAAAGGATGAAAGTTTTATTAGTTAAAAGATTTATTGGTGGTGCATGATTTATAGAAAATATTATCTTATTATGTGGTATTTATATCAGTTTTTTAGAGGGTTATAGCGACATAGAACCCTTACCCAATATTTTGTTATTTATGCAAATCTCCCTTTCTTGAAACAATGTATTATAGGTATGAATCCTGGTCCAGTAAACAAAATAAACCAGGAACATAATTATGTTCCTCAATAGATTGCTTCAGGGTGGGGTTGCAGGAGACACTATGTTTTTGTTTCAGAAACAAACAAATTTATTATTATTAGTTTTTAATTAGAATATTGTACACAGATTACAGATAGACTGGTATAAACAGATGACCAATATTTATATGTCATGTTAATTCTTAGGTTAAATAACTTCAGTAGAATAGATGTTCTAGTGACAATAAAACCAGACCACCACTGTCCCATCTAATATATAACCAGACTATTTAATAGTTAATAAGCTCTTTACACAAAGTCATTAGATAAGGGTAGTTGTTGATAGTTTGTAATTGGCTGTCCTTAGCTCCTCAGATTATTACAAACACCCAAGCTTTAAGTCACAGCTTCAATTTTGTTAATCTGAATCAAATTATATATAAAAGAACTGCTTAAATAGCACATTCAGATAGACAGATCTATCAAAGCTGTCTATCTAGCACATACAGACAGACAAATTTATCTTAGCTGCTTATAAAGCACATTCATACAGACAGATCTATCTTAGCTGCTTATATAGCACATTCATACAGACAGATCTATCTTAGCTGCTTATATAGCACAATCAGACAGACATATCTATCTTAGCTGTTTATATAGCACATTCAGACAGACAGATCTATCTTAGCAGCTTATATAGCACATTTAGACAGACATATCTATCTTGGTTGCTTATATAGCACATTCAGACAGACAGATCTATCTTAACTGCTTATATAGCACATTCAGACAGACAGATCTATCTTGGTTGCCTTTATAGCACATTCAGACAGACAGATCTATCTTAGCTGCCTTTATAGCACATTCAGACAGACAGATCTATCTTAGCTGTTTATATAGCACATTCAGACAGACATATCTATCTTAGCTGCTTATAAAGCACATTCATACAAACTGACTAATCTTAGCTGCCTTTATAGCACATTCAGACAGACAGATCTATCTTAGCTGCCTTTATAGCACATTCAGACAGACAGATCTATCTTAGCTGCCTTTATAGCACATTCAGACAGACAGATCTATCTTAGCTGCTTATATAACACATTCAGACAGATCTATCTTAGCTGCTTATATAGCACAATCAGACAGACAGATCTATCTTAGCAGCTTATATAGAACAATCAGACAGACAGATCTATCTTAGCTGCTTATATTGCACATTCAGACAGACATATCTATCTTGACTGCTTATATAGCACATTCAGACAGACTGATCTATCTTAGCTGTTTATATGGCACATTCAGACAGACTGATCTATCTTAGCTGCTTATATAGCACATTTAGACAGACATATCTATCTTAGCTGCTTATATAGCACATTCAGACAGACAGATCAATCTTAGCTGTTTATATAGCACATTTAAACAGACAGATATATCTTAGCTGCCTGTATAAGACATTCAGACAGACATATCTATCTTAGCTGTTTATATAGCACATTCAGACAGACAGATATATCTTAGCTGCCTATATAAGACATTCAGACAGACAGATATATCTTAGCTGCCTATATAAGACATTCAGACAGACAGATCTATCTTAGCTGCTTATAAAGCACATTCAGACATATTGATCTATCTTAGCTGCTTATATAGCACATTTAGACAGACAGATCTATCTTAGCTGCTTATATAGCACATTCAGACAGACAGATCAATCTTAGCTGTTTATATAGCACATTCAGACAGACAGATATATCTTAGCTGCCTATATAAGACATTCAGACAGACAGATCTACCTTAGCTGCTTATATAGCAGATTCAGACAGACAGATCTATCTTAGGTGCTTATATAGCACATTCAGACAGACAAATCTGTCTTAGCTGTCTATATAGCACATTCAGACAGAGACAGATCTATCTTAGCTGTTTATATAGCACATTCAGACAGACAGATCAATCTTAGCTGTTTATATAGCACATTTAGACAGACAGATATATCTTAGCTGCCTATATAAGACATTCAGACAGACAGATATATCTTAGCTGCCTATATAAGACATTCAGACAGACAGATCTATCTTAGCTGTCTATATAGCACTTTCAGACAGACAGATCTATCTTAGCTGTCTATATAGCACATTCAGACAGACTGATCAATCTTAGCTGTTTATATAGCACATTTAGACAGACAGATATATCTTAGCTGCCTATATAAGACATTCAGACAGACAGATATATCTTAGCTGCCTATATAAGACATTCAGACAGACAGATATATCTTAGCTGTCTATATAGCACATTCAGACAGACAGATCTATCTTAGCTGTTTATAAAGCACATTCAGACAGACTGATCTATCTTAGCTGTCTATATAGCACATTCAGACAGACTGATCAATCTTAGCTGTTTATATAGCACATTCAGATAGACAGATCTATCTTAGCTGTCTATATAAGACATTCAGACAGACAGATCTATCTTAGCTGTCTATATAGCACATTCAGACAGACAGATATTTCTTAGCTGCCTATATAAGACATTCAGACATACAGATCTATCTTAGCTGTCTATATAAGACATTCAGACATACAGATCTATCTTAGCTGTCTATATAAGACATTCAGACATACAGATCTATCTTAGCTGTCTATATAAGACATTCAGACAGACAGATCAATCTTAGCTGCTTATATAGCACATTCAGACAGACAGATCTATCTTAGCTGCTTATATAGCACATTCAGACAGACAGATCTATCTTAGCTGCATATATAGCACATTCAGACAGACAGATCTATCTTAGCTGCTTATATAGCACATTCAGACAGACAGATCTATCTTAGCTGCTTATATAGCACATTCAGACAGACAGATCTATCTTAGCTGCTTATATAGCACATTCAGACAGACAGATCTATCTTAGCTGCTTAAATAGCACATTCAGACAGACAGATCTATCTTTGCTGCTTATAAAGCACATTCAGACAGACAGATCTATCAAAGCTGTTTATAAAGCACATTCAGACAGACAGATCTATCTTAGCTGTTTATAAAGCACATTCAGACAGACAGATCTATCAAAGCTGTTTATAAAGCACATTCAGACAGACAGATCTATCTTAGCTGCTTATATAGCACATTCAGACAGACAGATCTATCTTAACTTCTTATATAGCACATTCAGACAGACAGATCTATCTTAGCTGCTTATATAGCACATTCAGACAGACAGATCTATCTTAGCTTCCTTTATAGCACATTCAGACAGACAGATCTATCTTAGCTTCCTTTATAGCACATTCAGACAGACAGATCTATCTTAGCTTCCTTTATAGCACATTCAGACAGACAAATCTATCTTAGCTTCCTTTATAGCACATTCAGACAGACAAATCTATCTTAGCTGCTTATATAGCACATTCAGACAGACTGATCTATCTTAGCTGCTTATATAGCACATTCAGACAGACAAATTTATCTAAGCTGCTTAAATAGCACATTCAGACAGACAGATCTATCTTAGCTGCTTATATAGCACATTCAGACAGACAGATCTATCTTAGCTGCTTATATAGCACATTCAGACAGACAGATCTATCTTAGCTGCTTATATAGCACATTCAGACAGACAGATCTATCTTAGCTGCTTATATAGCACATTCAGACAGACAGATCTATCTTTGCTGCTTATATAGCACATTCAGACAGACATATCTATCTTAGCTGCCTTTATATAGCCGTTATATAGCACATTCAGACAGACCTAGGGTTAGCATTCAGACAATGACCAACCTATCTCATAATTGTATAGGCAGTTAGACAGAGACTGATCTTGAACATTGATATATAGATTATGTTATCATATAGAGTAATGTCCCCTCTTGAGAAACAATGCTGTTGTATGTTGGTCTGTCATTTGTGTTTGTAAGACTGGATGTCACTCTAGTTTAGTACAACATTCGCTTTTCAGCAGGACAAAAACTCCTTAGCTAAAAGGTTAATTTTTATCAATATTTTAAAGATGTTGTGAAAACTATTTAACAGGGCCCACATAATGTCACTGTTAGAATTTCAGTATAATATGTATTATGAATGACATCATTTCTTTATTTGATTTACCATGGGTTTTTTTGCATGTCATAACAATACTGATATTCATAGCTAAATAATTTATACATGTAGTGAAAAATAAAAGCATGTAAACATCCAATGTATATTAATATTTTGTCCCAAGGACTAACATTTTGAAATTCTACTTCATTTCTTTTTTTTTATTTCTACTTTTTGTTCAATGTCATAAATTATATTAATCCTTAACTTGCTGGAACTAAAAGTGATTTAAGGTATTTCCACCAATATAGAGCATGTTCAGCCTACACATCCACGCAGTCTGACCAGGTTATATATTTTAATATCAAAAATCTGTTTTATATTCAAATGGACTGTTCCAAATTCAAGGTTGGGCAAACCCATTTGTCTATCATGCAGCAAGTCAGGGGTTAATAAATAAATTACAAAAAATGAAGAAGAACAAATTCTTGGTGTCATTTCACATGTTTTTACAATTCTTTATTTTATTTCTTCTGGAATCCTAAAATAATCTGGAATATTTATAATATATGAATAATACTTTATAAGTAGATTGACTGCCTTTATAATATAAGTGAAAATACTGCCTTTATAAGTGAAAAGGCTGTCTTTACTGTTAAAAGACTGCCTTTATAATTTAAGTAAAGTGACTGCCTTTATAATATATTAAGTGAATTGACTGCCTTTAATGTGAATTGTGAAAAGACTGTCTTTATAATATAATAATTGACTGTCTTTATTGTGACAAGTCTGTCTGTATAATTCAAGGGAATAGACTGCCTTTTTAACTGAAAAGACTGTCTTTATAAGTGAAGTGACTGCCTTTTTTTAAAAAGTTCTATAGACCACCTTCGTAAGTTCAATATACTGCCTATATAAGTGAATTGACTGCCCTTATAAGTGAATATACTGTCTTTATAAGTGTATAGACTGCTTTATAAGTGTATTGACTGTCTTTTTAACTGAATAGACTGTCTTTATAAGTGAATAGTCTGCCTTTATAAGTGAATAGACTGTTTTTTTAAGTTCTACAGACCAGCTTTATAAGTTCAATATACTACCTGTATAAGTGAATAGACTGCCTTTATAAGTGTATAGACTGCTTTATAAGTGAATTGACTGTCTTTACAAGTGAATAGTGGGGAGCTTTACAGCTTTTGTATGAGAGTTAATTGTAAGGTAAAGTTAGTGTAACACTGTTAGTGTAATAGTATAACATGTATATATTGTCAGTGTTTGTATGATTGTAGGGAGAAACATACAGTTTTAAAGAAGCAATAGTTTTAGCAGAATACAAGGTGGATGGTTCTTCAGCTGTGAAAGATGGAAATAGGCGACCTGACAAGGTAAAATATACAGAAAAATAAATAAATGATTAAAGTTACTATTTCTAAACATATTGATATAATTACTAACAAACATATTCCACAATTATTTATAAAAGCTTATGCTGTCTAAATGTTGTAGCTTGCTTTTAACTGTACTGGTATTTTCACTCTTAATTAAAAAACATTTGATTGGGTAAACTTTAAATGCTCTAAATGTTTTATTGTCCCTCACCTTTTCAATGGGCTCCGTCTGTCTGTTTGTCACAATTTATGTCAGGTCCATAATTCAGCCTTTCATCAAGGGATTTTGAAGTAATTTGGCACAAATGTTTACCATAATAAGACAACATGTCATGTGCAACATACAGAGTTATTGTCACACGTTGGTCAAATTTCAATATACAGTCAAAAAGTGTATAAAGCAACCCTGCAAGGGAAACAACCAAAAGGGTTGCTTAATGAAACGGTCTCTGAAGACAAAGCATGATAAAAAAAATTCAAAATTATATGTTACATCTTTCTTTTGTGGTGGGAATGTTTTCCAACTTCATTTATATAAATGTTTAATAATTAGAATGCTCCGATAATCAAAATGCATGCTAATGTAAAAAATAACTTGTTTATGTTTATTGACAAAAAAATTTTGAGACATTATGTACATGTTTGATATTTTTCCAGAACTTTTAAACTTCTCCCTTGTTTTTCCTTGTCTCCAACACGAAAACCCTAATAAATGAAGATGTTTTCTGTCGTGCATTTTTTTTTCATTTGAAATAAACAAATACATCTAATTGTAACCATTAATTTAATTGCTGATCAAAGTCAATTCAAGGCAGTCTAAATATCAGCAGCGTAGGGTATACACCATCTCAGTAGGGGCGGAGTGTTATATTGTTTAATCAATATTATTGGATAATACATGTCACGCATATACTTAACTTCATTTGCATATGCTTAAACGGTTTGGGAAATGGGGTTTTTCACACATTTATATATTGTGTTTACAGGGCTCGAATTTTACTTTTTTGGCCACTAGCAATTTTTTAGCACTTTTTACGTCAATGATTTTTTAATTCCAAAATTGTTTAAACTTTTGAGTACATTCATTAATAGTTTTATATTAATAAATGTTGTAGGTTTAAACATATTTTGTGACAGCTGTCTTAATCATGAAATTGGGCATGAAAAAATTTATAATACTTCAATTTTAAGTTTAATTATTTGCTGTGCTGAAAGACAAAGTTGTTGCTGGATATACAGAATAACAAAATTAAAATTTTAATTTATTTGGACGAGTTCAAACTGCCCGGGGTACAAATCAGCAACGTAACTTTCTACTCAAAAATTTGATTAAGGGGACAGGGATTCTTATCAAATGTCAATCTACATGTAAAAAAATAATAATGCAATATTGTTGCCATACCGTCGATGTCTGGTCTGAATTATGCGCACAACAATCGGCTCAAAATATTTTGGCAACATTTCCATCGTCATCAAGTTAGTACGTAAAACTGACGTGCAGTTCTTTCTCCCATTTTTTAACCATTTTAACTGAAGGTCTGATTGTCTTTCTTTTGATAGACTGGGAATCTTCTTCTGTACTCAAGAGTATTGTCATTGGAAGACAAATTTGCTTCAGTAAGTGAGAAGAAGTTTGTTATTTTTTGTTTAGACATTTTATTTCGATCAAGCTTGATTTACACGGACTAAATGACATTTGGACTGGTTTAAATTTGTGTACTTTTTTAAGTGAGGTTAAGGTATAGAAAATGTAAACCAGACAGCAAGTGGGCGCATAGTTTATAACTCGGCTACCTGCGAATATTACGCCCCATTTATATTTCGGATTTTCCTGACGAGCTTATTCTGTTATCTTCAACTCTCAAAAAATTATGAGTAGTCATAAATCTAACTCGCAAAATCATTTTTCAACTAGCATTTTGCGAGTGTGCGAGTGTTAAATTCGAGCCCTGGTGTTTTGATTGTTGACACTTGTGACATTACGAGGGGGCATTCCTAAAAACACAATTACTTGACAGGTAAAAGTGGTTGTTTAATGAAAAGATTGATCTTAATTACCTGACTAATTAGCGGTCCTTGGTCGCATTGAGCAAAAGTCGCTTTATACATAAAAGATTTATAGAGAAAATGATTGGGGGAATTAAAAGTGGTCGCATAAGGCCTAAAAAAAAAAATGTTGTGTTTCCGGTGGCCCTACCGACCCTATTTTTTAGCGCCGACCCAAAGTTTTTTATCGATGAACAAAAAAAAAATGGTGCCATTACCGAAGACGGGTTTTAGTATTGCGAGTCGACAACGATGTGAGGCACAGACGATTCGGGTTCCAATTACGTATTAACGCGCACAGGCTAATATGGCGGCACAACAAGCAGCCGAAGTGTTACTGCTGGCGATTTTCTTTAAAAATACGATCATAGTTTGGCAAAACAGGAAATCAAATTAATAGACCACAGCAAAACAGCTCAAAACATTTTTCGGACGTGCATGGTCATGTTAAGAGTGATAATATTAAAATTGAAGCCAGTTGTTCGGTAAGAATAAAAAAAATGAAAACGAAAGTCGAGTCATGCCATTGGTAAAATTTATTTCAAAATAAAATATTGAAGACTAGGTTTGGTAGTCTAACATTTTAAGTACTTTTATATGCTATAGAATATAATTTAAAGTACATATAATCTGTATCTGACATATCTACAATCGTTGATTGACTAAAAAAAAAAAAAAAAAGTCCGACCTACCGACCCTACTTTTTTTCGCCTCGCCACCAGAAACACTTCTATTTTTTTTTATGCCTAAGAAAAAAGTTGCTTAATACACATGGTAGCATGAGCAAGTTAGACAGTAGATTAATAAAGTTGTATTTCCAGTCACCTTCATAACTTTTTCATCTGAAATAACTTGGCAGAAATGTTAACAATAATAAGACAATATTTCATGCACAACACTTAGACCCCAGTGCCTACCTTTAAGGTCAAAGTTGCACTCCGAGGTTAAAGCTTAACATAGTCTGTTATAGGGCTTATTTTGTGCCTGGTTTGCAACTTTTCCATTCATGAAAGAATTTTGAAATTAAGTTTTCAGAAGTGATCAACATATTATGATAATTTGTCATGTGCTTCACCCATACCCCTAACAGCAAGCTCAAGGTCACATTCAGAGCTGCATTACTGGTACTGGTACTGCAGTACGTACTGCAGCGATTTTGCAAGTACTGGTACTGATACTGAATTACTCTTACAAAATTTTGCTACTACTGGTACTGGTACTGCATTACTGTCTTAAAAAGTGGTACTGCTACTGCATTACCCAGTACTTTTGGTTTTGATAAAAATTAAAAATAGCATCAATTTTTCTCATAAAATATAGCTGTAAATTACATTAACTATATTTTATTTTGGTGAAAAAGTAAGCTATCAAATCTAAAGATAATTTGCTGCAATATTCCTTCAACTGTTAACATAGTATTCATCATAAAAAGCACCAAAGACTTTAAGTAAAAATTAAATTAAGATAAACAGACTCAATAACTCTTTACCCTAAAATATCCTTATTAAAATCTTTTATTACTTTGTATTTACTAGTAAAAGAGCAAAATAAACACTAATTAATTTCTTCTATTCTAATTAATCCCATTTCAAGTGAAAAAAGTGATATTGTTAGCACCATAAAAAGTTGTTATTTACTTTGGTATAAATTAAACAGAGGTGTGAAGGTGTGAAAGGCAACAAAAGACTGTTGTGTTTTAAATGAAAGATGTTTGCATTGTATTTATACAGTTGACTGGTTAATAAACTGGTTAGATATGACATGAATATATGTTGTAAATATTGTTTGTAAAAAGTATGTTAAAACTATAAAGTTGTTAATATGTTAACTTTAAAGTAAATTATGATTTTATTTCTTTGCTGAATAATATTTGCAATTATTTGTTTGACACTGTATTTATTCAAACTTTGATGAATATATAAAAGTAATGGTACTGATACTTAATTACTTCACCAAAAAAAGTGCTGGTACTGCAGTACCGAGCTAAAATCTAGTACTTGTACTGGTAATGGTACTGCAAAATTTGCCAAGTACTGGTACTGGTACTTAAGTACTACACCCTTAGTACTGATGCACCTCTGGTCACATTTAGAGGTTAAAGCTTAACATGGTCTGTATTTTATTGTACAGAGAATAAGGCTGAAGGTATTATTAATGTTAAATTGTTAATATATCAAAACATTAAATATACTTGCCATACATAATTATACATGTATGTGAATTATGTTGTATATAATAAATGATTTTCCAGTATGTGTCAAGACAATGTACATTTATATAAGTCTAGAAAAAAACAAAATTTCTGTCTTCTGGTTCAGAACCAGTTGTCAGTGTCTTTTAATACATTAATTCATATTTATATAAATTTCAGTGGAATTGCTCGTTCCAAATTGTAAAGCAAGACAATTCAATGGCATACACCTTCTTCGCAAAAACTGAGGAAATTAAAAACAAATGGATAGAGGCAATCAATCTTGCATTGTAAGTTTTTACCAACCATTTTGTACTGAGTTATGATATCAAGAGAATTGGCTCACAAGAATCTTAAATATTCATATAGTGGGCAGAAAGTTTTGTATCCAATGTTCATATATTGGACAGTAGTTGAGTATCCAATGTTCATATATTGGACAGTAGTCGAGTATCCAATGAACATATATTGGACAGTAGTTGAGTATATTGGGCAGTTGTCGGATATCTTATGTTCATATAGTTAAGAGTAGTATCGTATTCAGTGTTCATGGATGGATTTACTTCAATAATTGTAGCCTTCATTGCCATGAGGTCAAAGTTGCCAACTGTAAATCACTTGTCCTTGATGGCAGTGGGTATGAATCATATCAGGAACTCTGGATTTAATCATGGCAAGATTCTATCCAGCTAACATGCGGAAGGTCAGTGATTCTACTCTGGTGCCCCATTGTGCCTGAATTACAATCTGTGGTCTTTTCCACCAATAAAACTGGAAAGTCACAATGTGACCTTGCAGTTAAATGTGACTTTAAATCCACCAAAAAGAAACAAACAAAGCAATAGTTTAATTTATCTGTGTAGTATCCTTTTAGCCATACTTAAAACACAAAACCCTTGTACAGGTAATACTATTCTTGTACAGGTAAAACTATTCTTGTACAGGTAATACTATTCTTGTACAGGTAAAACTATTCTTGTACAGGTAAAACTATTCTTGTACAGGTAAAACTATTCTTGTACAGGTAAACTATTCTTGTACAGGTAAAACTATTCTTGTACAGGTTAAACTATTCTTGTACAGGTAAAACTATTCTTGTACAGGTAAAACTATTCTTGTACAGGTTAAACTATTCTTGTACAGGTAAAACTATTCTTGTACAGGTGACAGTATTCTTGTACAGGTAAAACTATTCTTGTACAGTTAACTGTATTCTTGTACAGGTAACAGTATTCTTGTACAGGTAACAGTATTCTTGTACAGGTAAAAGTATTCTTGTACAGGTAAAACTATTCTTGTACAGGTAAAACTATTCTTGTACAGGTAAAACTATTCTTGTACAGGTAAAACTATTCTTGTACAGGTAAAACTATTCTTGTACAGGTAACAGTATTCTTGTACAGGTAAAACTATTCTTGTACAGTTAACAGTATTCTTGTATAGGTAACAGTATTCATGTACAGGTAAAACTATTCTTGTACAGGTAACAGTATTCTTGTACATGTAACAGTATTCTTGTACAGGTAACTGTATTCTTGTACATGTAACTGTATTCTTGTACATGTAACAGTATTCTTGTACAGGTAACTGTATTCTTGTACATGTAACAGTATTCTTGTACATGTAACAGTATTCTTGTACATGTAACAGTATTCTTGTACAGGTAACAGTATTCTTGTACATGTAACAGTATTCTTGTACAGGTAACAGTATTCTTGTACAGGTGACAGTATTCTTGTACAGGTAACAGTATTCTTGTACAGGTAACACAATACCCTATCATATAAAGAGTGTAAAGATTAAGTCATAGTATACAATGTTTTATGTTATTCAGTTATACTTGTTTTAACTTGATTGTTGATTACCCAAATTTACAGGGATAATGTTATTCAGTTATACTTGTTTTAACTTGATTGTTGATTACCTAAATTTACAGTTTTAACTTAATGTTATTCAGTTATACTTGTTTTAACTTGATTGTTGATTACCTAAATTTACAGGGATAATGTTATTCAGTTATACTTGTTTTAACTTGATTGTTGATTACCTACAGGGATAATACACAGCCAGCAGCAGGCAAGAATTTTATAATGACAACATTTAGTGAACCCAAGGTCTGTGATATTTGTGGAAAGCTCCTTCGTGGTGTCTTCTTTCAGGGGTATAAATGCCCAGGTAAGTTGTCTGTAGATAAAAATTGTCTTTTTATACATCCCCCCCCCTAAACTTGCAAGTTGGATATATCTCAAGTTCTGCCTGTACCATTCATTGCAGCATTCATATTATGTAGGAACTGACCTTTGGTGATCCTCTTCCTTTGGATGAAGTTTTGGGTTACTGGGTTCAAAGTCAAGGTCATTGTCTGTAGATATATACCATGAGAAATTTGAAATTTTTTATGCAGGAATGGGCTCAAGATCAAGTAACCTTTGCTAAAATAGATTTTTACCCTTAAGCTTTTCCTGATTTTATTTATTTACAGATGTCTTTTATATTTGATTGAGTTATACCTTGAATGGTCCTCTAACTTCCGACGGAGTTTTGGTTCACCACAAGGTCAAGATGACTGATGCTTATAATAGATTTTTTACACTTCTACTTGTCTGGCCTTTATTTATGGACTGATATCTTTTTAGAGATACTTTTAGTGGTTCTGTTACTTTTAATGGAGTTTGGATTATTGGTTATGTATCTTTGATCAACCATTATTGGCAAGTTTAATCATTTTTAGCTCCATCAAATAGTGATAGCTTACTAATTTACATTTTGTCTGATAAGAAGAAAAGACGTATTAGAATTCATTGTGTTAATAATTTTTCTTCAGCAATCACCCCTCATATAACTTAGTGAATAGGTCAAGCTTTATTGACATCAGTCAGTGCCTGGTGGCATACATGTTTACCAAATACCCTAGTCTATTTGTCTATCAGTTATAAGTAACACATATGAAGATTCAATAATTAAATTACTTAAAGAATAGATGGGACTAACTTTCTTACATGGACTCTAGCAAATAAATATCACAGAGTTTTTAAGGCAATCTTTTGAATGTTCACATTTCAAACTTGATACAAATTGACCTGGCTTGATACACATTGACCTGACTTGATTCCAGTTTACCCAACATTATACAGGTTGACCTAACAATATACACTTTGACCTGACATTATACTTATTGACCTGACATTATACATATTGACTTGACATTATACATATTGACCTGACATTATACATACTGACCTGATATTATACATATTGACCTGACATTATACACATTGACCTGACATTATACACATTGACCTGACATTATACACATTGTCCTGACATTATACACATTGACCTGGCATAATGCACATTGACCTGACATTATACACATTGACCTGACATTATACACATTGTCCTGACATTATACACATTGTCCTGACATTATACACATTGTCCTGACATTATACACATTGACCTGACATTATACACATTGACCTGACATTATACACATTGACCTGACATTATACACATTGACCTGACATTATACACATTGACCTGACATTATACACATTGACCTGACATTATACACATTGTCCTGACATTATACACATTGTCCTGACATTATACACATTGACCTGGCATTATACACATTGACCTGACATTATACATATTGACCTGACATTATACATATTGACCTGACATTACACATATTGATCTGACATTATACACTTTGACCTGACATTATACATATTGACCTAACATTTTACACATTGACTTGACTATATACATATTGACCTGACATTATACATATTGACCTGACATTATACACATTGACCTGACAGTATACTGATGGCATTACCCAGATATTATCAATGTTTTTATTCTGGTGGATATAATATTTGGTCATTTTGTATATATATTATGTTTCAGTCACTGGTATGTGTGTACATAAAGAATGTATTGGTAAAAAGAAGCAAGAACAGACACCCCCTGTTACCCCACATAGAAGAGGTTTGTAAATGACATTATATATATGTTTAAGTCATTTAAACTCAACTTCAAAATAACTGTCAATCCATGCACTAATATAGCTTTGTAAATAAGTAAAAGATTCAGTATTTTGTCTGTCATACATGATACAGGACAAGTTTATGCCCAGTGATTAAAGTATACTTCTTTCGAAGGGTTGTGTTACCGTGTTTTTTTTATTCTTGAAAGTTTCAGATATGACCATGTATGATACTTTATTGATACAGAGTTACAGATAAATATTTCATTGTGTAATCATTTCTTTAAAATATGAGCCGCGTAATTACAAAACCAACATAGTGCGTTTGCGACCAGCATGGATCACCAGCCTGTGCATCCGCACAGTCTGATCAGGATCCATGCTGTTCGCTTACAGACCCTATAATAAGTAGTGAAACTGATAGCGAACAGCATGGATCCTGATCAGACTGTGCACATGTGCAGGCTGGTCTGGATCCATGCTGGTCGCAAACGCACTATGTTGGTTTTGTCGTGACCCAGCTAAATTATGTTTTATCATTCGATAGAAAAATACAAGGCCAAAGTAGAATATGTAGGAGAACCAAATCCTCGGCCACGGAAAGCACTATTGTTCAAAGTCAACGCGATTATAGAAGTTACACAGAAAGAACATGATTGGTGGAGAGGAAAATGTGATGATCAAGACGGCTGGTTCCCGTCTCAATTTGTAGAGGAAGTAAGACAGGTGAGTTCAAAGTGGGTACCAGCCTGTCTAAATATAACACGTCAGACAATATGTAATACAAGAACAATTTTTGTTGTCTTGGATTTAAATCAGAAGTTATAGGGATATATTTGCTGTATTAGTTCTGTCAATTGAAAATGATCCATTATGTTTTAACTAGAAACAAAAAAATTATGGTCAAAGGTAAAAATATGTTTACTTGTATCTGTTATTGTAATGTATTGATAAGCTATGTATTTTATGTTTATATTTTTATCTTTGTTTAATACAGAATGATGAGGTATGATAAGAGTGAATTCTGTTTGTTTGTTTTATTATAGACTAGCTGTTTCTTTGTAATGACTTTAATATGTTTCTAAAACATAAGTAGTGTCTGGCAAGGCTAACAAAGGTTTTAGTTTTGGATATAGTGTAATTATAACACGTTGATATTTTCTATATCTTCACTGAAGAAGGGCAAATACCTTGTTCAAGTATTAAATGGTATTATGGGAGTGTAATTGTTACATGTTGATATTTTCTATATCTTCACTGTGGAAGGGCAAACACCTTGTTCAAGTATTAAATGGTATAATGGGAGTGTAATTGTTACATGTTGATATTTTCTATATCTTCACTGTGGAAGGGCAAACACCTTGTTCCAGTATTTAATGGTATAATGGGAGTGTAATGGTTACATGTTGATATTTTCTATATCTTCACTGTGGAATGACAAATGCCTTGTGATGGAGTGTAATTATTACTTGTTGATATTTTCTATATCCTCACTGTGGAAGGGCAAACACCTTGTTCCAGTATTAAATTTTATAATGGGAGTGTAATGGTTACATGTTGATATTTTCTATATCTTCACTGAGGAAGGGCAAACACCTTGATCCAGTATTTAATGGTATAGGATGGAGTGTAATTGTAACATGTTGATATTTTCTATATCTTCACTGAGGAAGGGCAAACACCTTGTTCAAGTATTTAATGGTATAATGGGAGTGTAATTGTTACATGTTGATATTTTATATATCTTCACTGTGGAAGGGCAAACACCTTGTTCCAGTATTAAATGTTATAATGGGAGTGTGATTGTTACATGTTGATATTTTTTATATCTTCACTGTGGAAGGGCAAACACCTTGTTCTAGTATATAATGGTATAATGGGAGTGTAATTGTTAGTTGTTGATATTTTCTATATCTTCACTGTGGAAGGGCAAACACCTTGTTTTAGTATAGGTAGGAGTGTGATTGTTAGTTGTTGATAATCTCTATATCTTCACTGTGGAAGGGCAAACACCTTGTTCTAGTATTGGTAGGAGTGTGATTGTTAGTTGTTGATATTCCCTATATCTTCACATTGGAAAGGTGAACACCAAGCTTTAATGTCTCTGTATTGTTGTAGGATTCATTGTCAGTAATAATGTATTTATGCATTCTTACTGCTTGGTTTTATATTGTAAGACTATCCCCAATATTTTTTCACAAGAATGTAGTTAATAGATTCAAGACAGAGTCATTGTGTTTTACAAACACATGTTGGTGAGATAAATTTTAAAGAACATAGTTCTAACAGGGTTTTAACAGTGTTAACTTTAAACATGAAATATTTTATTGTATTTGCCCATAGATAAGACATAAAATATTTTATTGTATTTGCCCATAGATAAGACATAAAATATTTTATTGTATTTGCCCATAGATAAGACATAAAATATTTTATTGTATTTGCTCATAGATAAGACATAAAATATTTTATTGTATTTGCCCATAGATAAGACATAAAATATTTTATTGTATTTGCTCATAGATAAGACCGTCTTATGAGGAGGCCCATATTTCAAGACCAGGTCATGTCCTAATACAAGGTCAGGTTGCCGGGGCAACAACACGACCTCAGATTGACCTTGCTGTCTTCCCATGGTATGTCAGGACAGCATGTTAGCCAAAAAAAAAAGAGAGAAAAAAAAAACACTAAATGTTGTGCCCTTTTTGTTGTGCATGTTTGATTGTTAACATGTGTTGTATTTTAATTTTAACATTAATAATAGAACTACGGTTAACATGAATTATAGAATTGATGCCACATATATCATCATGAATTGTCCAATAACAACTAGTTTGGTAGGATTGATGCTGATTTAAGAAACAAAGTGAATAGAAAAACTAAGAATAGAAGTATTTTAGTAACTCTTGGCAAAACTTAGATGACTGATTTTCACACTCAAATAACATGTGACCTACAGATTCTAGTCACACTAGCCCATGACCTGCTGGAAATGAAAGTGATTTGTCTTTACCACTAGTGCAGAGCCAGGCCGGCTTGCGCATTTGTGCAGTCTGACCAGGCTCTATACTGTTGTGAGCTCAAGGTTTTATATTTTGATTATGAAATCTACTTGAATTGAACTGTTCCTATATCAAGGTTGGGCAAACGTATTACATGTTCATCAGGTGAAAGGCTTAAGAAACAATATGCCGGGAAAATTTGTATTTTAATGTCATTTCTTGTAATATAACTGAACTTTTTTATTTGATTCTTAGATGTTAATGGTTAAAATATTATGTATTAATAAGTTTATAAAATGATGAAATATGTGGACAGAAATAATTGTATATAGTTGTATACACAGTGTGATTTAGTAGTTATTTATTGAAACATATTATAAAGTGAATGTAAATGTTTTACTTTTAATCTTTTGTTATGGCATTGATTTTTCTGGCTTGTATTAAAGATGTAGTAAGACTCACTCTGACATTTTTCCCTCTGACATTTTTTCCTCTCTTTTAGTCTTATTTCACTTTCATACATTTTGCATGTGAACATTTTCACAGAATGTGCATTTTGTCCTGAAATGTTGGTTTAAATGATATATGTAAAGATTTTGCAATTGTTTTAGGGAAAAAAAACTGTAGATATAGATTCCAGGAAAGAAGTTTGGTATCTGCACAGATTGTTAAAGATTCCAGGAAAACATGTTTGGTTTTTGCCCTTATCACCTTAATTCCAGGCAAAACATGTTTGGTTTCTGCCTTGTCACCTTGATTCCAGGCAAACATGTTTGGTTTCTGCCCTTAGCGCCTTGATTCCAGGGAAACATGTTTGGTTTCTGCCCTTAGCGCCTTGATTCCAGGCAAACATGTTTGGTTTCTGCCCTTAGCGCCTTGATTCCAGGGAAACATGTTTGGTTTCTGCCCTTAGCGCCTTGATTCCAGGCAAACATGTTTGGTTTCTCCCCTAGCGCCTTGATTCCAGGCAAACATGTTTGGTTTCTGCCCTTAGCGCCTTGATTCCAGGCAAACATGTTTGGTTTCTGCCCTTAGCGCCTTGATTCCAGGCAAACATGTTTGGTAACTACACTTGTTGCCTAGATTCAAGGAAAGCAGTTTGATATCTGCACTGGTGATTAAAATTCCAGGAAAACAGTGTATCTTTCGAAATATTACACTTATAAGGGGTTTAGTAATGTATCACTTGAAGTATTACATTTATAAGGGGTTTACCAATGTATCTATGGAAGTGTTACATTTGTAAGGGGTTTAGTAATGTATCTATGGAAGTATTACATTTAGAAGGGGTTTACCAATGTATCTATGGAAGTGTTACATATAGAAGGGGTTTAGTAATGTGTCTATGGAAATATTACATTTATAAAGGGTTTACCAATGTATCTATGGAAGTGTTACATTTATAAGGGGTTTAGTAATGTATCTATGGAAATATTACATTTATAAGGGGTTTACCAATGTATCTATGGAAGTGTTACATATATAAGGGGTATGTATCTATGGAAGTGCTACATATATAAGGGGTTTACCATGTATCTATGGAAGTATTACATTTATAAGGGATTAAGCAATGTATCTATGGTAGTATTACATTTATAACATGTTTATAAGTGTATCTATGGAAGTATTACATTTATAACATGTTTATAAGTGTATCTATGGAAGGAGTGTACTTACAAAAGGTTTATCAGTGTATCTTTGGAAATATTTTACTTACAAAAAATTTATTGAAGTATATATGAAAGGATTGTATTGAAATCTTTCAGTATTTTAAAAAATAAAGTATTATGGAAGTATTGTAAATATATGTACATTGAAATTTTATATTTATGATTGTTAGATATAAATACATACTTTCAATGCATACAATCTTGTACATGGGAATGTGATAAAACATGAAAACTTTCATCACTCTTGCATGTAGTTTAGTGAAATACCATATTGGTTCTAAAAGTGCTCAGAAACAGATTCCGTCCTTCATTTAACCATTATCCTGCTGAATTCTGAGGTGATTAACCTTTGTCACCGGGTATAGAACCTTTTTTGGCATATCTGTGCAAATTGACCAGGCTTTATACTTTAAGTAGTTTGATAATGAATTCCCTCAAACTTCAAATAGACTTTACAGATTCAGAAAAAAGCTAATCCAGTACACAAGTTCACCAGGTTAATGGATAAAATAACCAAAATATTGGGAATTTGACTTGAATGGGCTGGTCCAGCTTCAATTTTTGAACCATTATCAGTTTTTTGAACAATTAATTTGCAAGCTGGTCGCCCGGACTGTAGAGCCTGGTTGGAATGGATGTAACAGAGCCAGTAACAGGGTTTTTATAATCTATGACTTGGGGGGGGGGGGGGGGGGGTAGGCATTTGTTATGAAATGTGACCAGGGGGCACTTTGTAGAACCAATATAGTGATTTTTGTACTGAGTTAACTTGCATGGTTATTGTAATCTCTATTCAGCCCCCGCGGCGTGCCCCTTCCTATCTAGACTGGGAATTTTCTGGCAGACACCGTACCTCTCAGATACCTTCACCGTGTAAACCAGTTGGCTATGTAAATGTTCCAGACGGGCATGATTATAGTCAATATGAATGGTGAGTAAATCGCAGACCGGAGATAATGGGAACACACTGACCAGTTGTTTTTATCAGAACATTTGACAGTGCAGGGGAAAAAACTTTTTTATAGTAAAAAAAAGTATTCAAAAAAAGTATTCTTCAATGACTTCTTTGGGATATCCTAACTCAAATTGTTTGGATGTTTTTGGTAGAAGGGGGGCGGGGGAGTGTCCATCATTTTCATGATTTATTATTTTTAAAATTTAATGATTTTCCAAATATTAAATGGATCAATACATTTTGTTTACAGTGTAACTTCTGAATTCCGGAAGTTCTAAAATCGGGAAACTTCTGAAATCCAAACATTTTTCAGGGTCCCAAAATTCTTTTGTTTTCTATGTAATGAATACTTCTGAATTCCGGAACTTCTAAAATCTGAATTCTAACGATTTTCTTGTTAAATTTCGGTTATATCAATTATAATTTACTTCCAAAATCCATAGATTACAACCCCTGTCAACCAATTGTCAAACACTTGATTACAGTGTGAATATTAAAAATGAGAAGTATAACATGATGAAAAATAAAAATTACAGGTAAATAGCTGGTACAACATGAAATTTACTAAATAATTTTACATTATGCTTTTGTTTAAACAAAGTCAGTTATAGGTGTTAAAGAAATTTAATATGCATATTAAGTTATAAACTTTTTAAAAGTCATATAATTTTGCCATTTTATAAATATATTTAGTTTCATATTTTTTTTCACCATGTCTTACATAAACAATTGATGTTTAATGTTTCTACTTTTTCTTTCTACTATGTCTCAGATAATTCCAAACTTCTGAATTCCGGAAACTTCCAAATTTCGAACTTTTTGGCTAGTCCCACAGGTGTTCGGCTTTCAGAAGTTACACTGTATATTTTAACATAGAGTAAACTCGGGGCTATACGTATATAGGAAAGTGAAAATAGAAGAAGAAAAAAAACAACAACTGCAAACTGGTTTATATAGTGATTCTGTTGCTATGACAACTGGAATGTATCCAATGAATGATTGTTTTCATCTTGAATGACTTCTTTATGTACATGATTATTATCATTGAACTTCATCTTGTAAAACACTGAAAACTTCCACCTCTCCTATGCATGACTCTGGCTAGTTAGTGTTCTAACTAAAACAGTTATCTCTCTAATGAAAACAACTTAGGTGCAGAATATGGTTGGTCATATATGGTTGGTCATAATTATGATCAGTGTCCTATATGGGCTGTCATATATGGTTGGTGTCATATATGGTTGGTCATCAATAATCAGTGTCATAATCAGTGTCATATATGATTGGTCAACTATAATCAGTGTCTTATTTGGTTGGTCATATATGATCATTGTCATACATTCACAGTCATATATGATCAGCCATATTTTGTCAACCATATATCTACACTGAGGGAAGTATTATGACTGATGGTTTCTTAGAGAGTTTTACTTTGATTTAACATAGTACAACAAACAGTCAAAGCGAGCCCGACGACCCGCCATGCCAGATTCAGGATACATACCAGTTGTTATACAACGTGGGACAAATAAAGTCAAATTCGGTTCTGTTAACACAACTTTGAGTAAAGACATAAATAGGTCAGATTGTTTAGAACAAATGGATTGGTAAGTTTGAAAATAAACGTTCAAAATGAAAAAAAAAATAATCTTGTTTTACAATAAAAAAAAAATTGTTTGTTTCTGTTTAGTTGTTCTAGTTGTTGTTTAATATTTGTGATGTTGTGAGTATTACAATGCATGCTAGAATGTTTAATCCTAAAATAAAAAACAATTTATTTATAAAATTTGTTCAGTGATTTCCATTCCTTAAAGTAATAACTTTACCATAGTTTGTCTCTTCTGATGTTATATAAATTTCTAATAAGCGTTTATTTAACTAAGATCAAAAAAGTCATGATCATCTAACAGCTTTAGATATATACAAAGTAAGTGAGATTTGTATGACACTGTTTATAATCATTTTATAATATAAATGCAGCACAACGTCCAGACATTTAAGCCAATGTAACACTGAATAAAACTGAAGCAGTATTTACATGTAGTGCCGTCATTGGTTGTGGAAGTAAATGTTTAATTTGAAAAATTTGTATTAACTTATTGTTTAAATAGTTGTATTTGCATTCAACAAAGTGGTTAACATGACAGACTTTGAAATTTCTTGCCCATCACCATTGACGGTATTAAATCTGCCAGGGACTTGGAGTCCATTCATATGAGGAAATTTATGATCTGGCTTGCTGATGTAAAATTGATGGTCCAACTTGGTCTGTGTTGAAGACAAAATATAATTTGATGTTAGATTTTCTAGTTTGAGATCAAGTTATAATAGATATATATTGTATTATAGGTACGTAGGTCCTTTAGCACGTGATCAAGCTGGTGAAAGGATGAAAAAATTGCCAGATGGTACATACTTAGTTAGAGATAGTGAAAACCCCCAGCGTAAAGGCAATCCTGCTCTCAGTATAAAGTAAGTATTGATTATCTAAAATTTGATTGGTTCTTAAGTTAGAATTAGTGCCATATTATATTAAAGTGACCAATGAAAAAGAAGCTACCATACTTTGGCACACATTGTCCACAATAAACACTTACATGGGCAAATGAGAGCACAATCAGATATATTTGGGTGGTGCTCTAACTTTTGATGAAGAAGAAGTAGTCTGTCTGTACACTGGTTGCTAGGCAAGCTATTTTATCATTGATGACTTTCAAATATTTAAAATGTAAAATAAACCATTCTTAAAAAAAAACTTTAAATTGTAGTTGTAATACCCAAACAATCCAAAACATTTTTTACATTATCTGAAAAAGCAAAATATTCCTATAGAGCAAACAATGATTATTTATTTGAGGCTTTTTCATTTCTTTAGTCCTATATGGTACATTAAAGGACTATTTGCTGAATATATAAACATATTTTTTACATTTCTCCCTTCAGGTTTTCAGGAACAGTTCGACACATAAAGATAGAAAAGAATTCAGAGAACATGTATTATATGGCTGACACCAGGTTCTTTCATTCATTGCCAGTAAGTGTAACATTTTGCTTCAGTCAGTGTAACATTCATTTCATGTCAGTGTAACATTCATTACATGTCAGTGTAACATTCATTCCATGTCAGTGTAACATTCATTCCATGTCAGTGTAACATTCATTTTATGTCCGTGTAACATTCATTTTATGTCAGTGTAACATTCATTACTTGTCAGTGTAACATTCATTTTATGTCAGTGTAACATTCATTACATGTCAGTGTAACATTCATTACTTGTCAGTGTAACATTCATTACTTGTCAGTGTAACATTCTTTTTATGTCCGTGTAACATTCATTACTTGTCAGTGTAACATTCATTACATGTCAATAGAACATTCATTACATGTCAGTGTAAAATTCATTACATGTCAGTGTAACATTCATATCCTGTCAGTGTAACATTCATTACATGTCAGTGTAACATTTATTACTTGTCAGTGTAACATTGATTTCATGTCAGTGTAACATTTACATTCTTTAGCAGTAAAATACACTTAAATTATAGAACATGTAATGGGTCCTGGAAATATCAGTCATGGTTTTTGTACTGTGTTATTTTCTTTGTCTCTTGTTGACAACTCTAGCTTTGTCAAAATATTATATTAGTTAGAGATTTCATACTTTGACATGCTATCGTTATATAAGATAAAGCCATGTTACTTGGCCGTTACTTAATTGTGTAAGCTAGAACCTCTAAACATTGTTATAGCATCAAACAATATAATAACAATATTGAAGAGTTGAATTCAAATCTTTTGTTGTAATGTTTCAGGAGTTAATAGAGTTTTACCAGAAGAATTCATTATCGGACAGTTTCCCTGAAGTTCAGACTAACCTTCTATATCCATATAAATCTGTCGCTTCCAATCCACAAGGTAAGCTATCTGGCTGTATAAAATCTATTGCTTACAATAATGAAGCTTAGTTATCTGTTTAGGAGTGCCTGTGGCTGAGTATTTAAGGTCTTTGACTTAAAACCACTTGCCCTTCACCTTTGTTGGTTTAATCCCACTTGGGACTTTGGATTCTTAAATGTGAGGAATAAATCAGGCTATCTTAAAACATCACTGGTTCTACTCAGGTGCCTGCTTGTGCCTGAAATAAAGCATGGTGGGGACACTTAGGACTTCCTTCAGCAGAAAAGCTGGAAAGTTGCCATATGACCTCAGCATTGTCCACTTGACTGTGATCTGTTTGACTGTTAAATATAAGTCAGAGACGTGATAAGTTTATAAACCTGTGTATAATCCTCACAGAGTTTCAACAGTTCACTTATTTAAATAACTGACATGTTTTCATTGTGCTAGTGCATGTTTATTTTATTTTTGTGTATTAGCTTGTGTGTTATTAACATGTTACACTTGCTGCTAGTGCATGGTCAAAATTATTATGTTACTTGTTTTCACTGCAATAATACCATTACATGTTTTTTTAAATTACATACATTTTTTATGCATACATCATGTCACCAACTAATTATACTTAAAAGAGACTTTTTTACTGACCTTAATGTCTGTGTAACTGGCCTAAATGTCTGTGTTACTGGCCTAAATATATATGTTACTTACCTAAATGACTGTTTTACTGGCCTTAATGTCTGTGTTACTGACCTAAATGTCTTTGTTACTGGCCTAAATGTCTGTGTTACTGACATTAATGTCTGTGTTACTGACATTAATGTCTCTGTTACTGACCTTAATGTCTGTGTTACTGACATTAATGTCTGTGTTACTGACATTAATGTCTTTGTTACTGGCCTTAATGTCTGTGTTACTGACATTAATGTCTGTGTTACTGACCTTAATGTCTGTGTTACTGACATTAATGTCTGTGTTACTGACCTTAATGTCTGTGTTACTGACCTTAATGTCTTTGTTACTGACATTAATGTCTGTGTTACTGGCCTAAATGTCTGTGTTACTGGCTATCAAGTTACCTTGACTATCAAGGTCAAATTATCGAAATTTGCAGAAAGTGTTTTTACTTTATTATTTACTTAGAGATTTGATTCATTCTTGGACGAAAGAGCATTTATGGCAAAACTGACATGATGATAAATTCAAATGTGACTTTGACCTTTGACTTACCTTGACTGTCAAGATCAAATCTGAAATTTTAATTTAATTTGTTAAAAAAAAAAATGTTTTGTAGTATAATATTCTTCCTTTGATGTGTTTGACTTTAGAAACTAGAAATTGTGTGTGGTCCCTGCTAGGCAGTTGCTTTTGTTATATTTATGCATGCTACTGTAGATGTGTTATTATTTTTTATCCCATATAACCCATACTAGTCAGCTAACTGTTCTATTTTTAGCTAACTGTTCTATTTTTAGCCACCAATGGCATAACATCACCACTCAGAGTTGCACTCCCACCAAAGCCTGAGAATTCTACTGCGGGTATGCACTTACTTCAGTTCTATAATTTGATATTTATTATTTATTTATTGTTATTTTTTTTCATTCTTTAAATATTAAGCCACTCTGAGCACAATGTTCTGAAAAAAGAATTGTTCAGTTTTGTTTCTTGTTGAAATGTTTAATCATAAAACTGACCCTTTGCTCTAGCATTTGAAAGAGAATTCATTTTATTTTGCTTTTTTATGCCTGAAGGAAAGTTTTATGTTATATATCTGGTCATCAGTATGTCTGTGTTTCTATTAGTAATTATATAATACTTATATTTTATATAATTATAATGTATATGCTTTTTATATAGAACTTATATAATACATGTACTTATTGTATAGAATAATGATTTTGGCACACATGTACATCATAGTAACATAGAAAATGTTAAAGTTTGTTACTGCTAAGGTATGCAAACATTTCAATCATAAATCATTGTATTGTATATTGTCATTTTTAACTTTTATATATACACATGGAAAAAAAGGTAAGCACATCCGGCATTTTGCCTCAATTTTGACATGACCACAACTGAAATTTTAGATTTTATTTGGGCCATTGTACAAACCACTTGTAGTCAACCTGTAAACTGGAACAAGCTATGCACCAAGAATGTCAAAATTTATCTCAAAATCACACAGCTACCTGGTAGTATGAGGAAAAGGGTTGAGGCTGTCATTCTGGCACGTGGCGGTTATGCACGTTATTAAAAATTTGGCTACATAATGTCATTTTAGGTTACGTACTAGGCAACATTTACCAAAAATATCCACCAGTAAATGTTTTGTAAATGCTCCAAAGCCATACTTATAATCACTTACATTTTTGGTAAAAAACAACACATTTGCTAATGCTTCAATAAATTGGTTAAGAAATAACTAAATTCTTAAATTTACTGGTTTATGATTACTAAATTGGTATTGCTACTTATGTAATCATATAACTATTTCTTAAATCATGACAGTGCTTTCAATCACAACCAATTTTAGATTTTTCCAGGGTGTGCTTAACTTATTTCCAGGTGTATTTCTTGGATGTCTTCAGTTTGTAGTATGTGTGTTGCCTTGCTAAAGCTAGATATCTTTTAAGAAAAACAAAAATCAAATTATGTATTATTTCTGACAATACAAGAAAATACATTATTTTTAGTTTGACTCTTTGAAGAATAATTGGGCAAATCCTACTAATTCAGGTGATGTTGAGCATTGATGTAAGACTGGACAAAGTTTTCATATTTGATTGAAATTATGGCTCTTTGTGAATTACTGGTTAAAGTTTTGCATGAAGCAGCAATCTTCAAAACACCTTTGGCATGAATAATGAAAAATTGCCTTTTGTGGTAATTGAGCCAATCAGGTTACCTCTCAATGGAATTTTTTACTTTTTATAAAAAAAAAAACAAGTAAATGCATTGTGTATTAATCTGTCAGACTGTGGGTCAAAATGGGTCAAAATTTAAATAAACCTGGTATAGTGAAGCCTTATTAATTCTTTATATTTATCAGGTTTTTTAAATTGTACCAGGAACATTAAATTATTATGTTGGGGAGTTATGTAGGTACGAGGGTTGTCCCAAAATATCGTAGACAAAGTCTGTTACTCAATCATTTATAACACTTTACAATAATCTAGCTAAAGAAAAGTCAATACACCTTCTATGCATGTCTATGCGAAATATAAACAAAATACCTCCAAAGTTGACCAAGTTATTGAAATTTAAAAAATGATACCTGTACATAACCGAAGCACGCCGACATGAACGTCATGACGTCATAAGTATTTTTTAATGTTTTTCAAAGTATTCTCCGTGTTTTTCGATGCACTTCCGGTGTCGGGTGACCCATTTATTATAGATGTTTTCAAAAAAGTCCTGCTTCAATGTACTCAACACTCGTAGAGTTTCCTGGCGGAGTTCGCTGAAGTTTTAGAACCTTTGACCTCGTAATTGTGATTTTAAATAAGGAAACACTGCAATGTCTAAGGGTGCTAAATCCGGACTGTATGGTGCATGAGGAAGTCTCTGAAAACCTATCACATCAAGTTCAATCTGTATCTCCTGAGATCTATGGCAAGGTGCATTATCTTGATGAAATATAATGTTCTCCAAGTTGTCAATTAACGCTGGACGCTTCTTTCTTATCGCATTTAAGAGATCACGTCTGATTACCTGATAATACACAAATTAAAGAAAATAGACCTAAGTTAGATTAATTCATATTGAAAATGTGATTACACTTTAGGATATTATTCTGATTATAACGGAGAAATCAGTCATTATTATTAATTATTACCGTAATAATTACAAAGAATTTAACTATAGACTTACCTTTGAGTAGTATGCAGAATTCACGGTCTGGCCAAGTGGGACTGCATGACAGACAAGTACGGTACCCCTTTCCTATCAATAAACACGATAAACATGTGTTTTCCTATGGATTTTGTAACTTTTGCCTTTTTCGGTGGCGGAGAAGCAGCTGTTTTCCACACACTTGATTGTCTTTTATAACGTAAATGTGACCTATTACATTTTTGTCTCAGTTTTAATTAGAAACAAGATATTTGTGACAATTATTATAAGGTGATATGAATTTGAGACAAGAATTATTGTTTACAGGTCGGCGTATATTGAGTTATTGTTTACAGGTCAGCATATATTGAGTTATTGTTTACAGGTCGGTGTATATCGAGTTATTGTTTACAGGTCAGCGTATATTGAGTTATTGTTTACAGGTTGGCGTATATTAAGTTATTGTTTACAGGTCGGTGTATATTGAGTTATTGTTTACAGGTCAGCGTATATTGAGTTATTGTTTACAGGTCAGCGTATATTGAGTTATTGTTTACAGGTCGGCATTTATTGAATTATTGTTTACAGGACAGCGTATATTGAGTTATTGTTAACAGGTCTGTGTATATTGTGTAATTGGTTACCGGTCAGCATATATTGAGTTATTATTTACAGGTCAGCATATATTGAGTTATTGTTTACAGGTTGGCGTTTATTGAATTATTGGTTACAGGTCAGCGTTTATTGAATTATTGTTTACAGGTCAGCGTTTATTGAGTTATTATTTACAGGTCTGTGTATATTGTGTAATTGGTTACATTGAGTTATTGTTTACAGGTCGGTGTATATTGAATTATTGTTTACAGGTCAGCGTATATTGAGTTATTGTTTACCGGTCAGCGTATATTGAGTTATTGTTTACAGGTCGGTGTATATTGAGTTATTGTTTACAGGTCAGCGTATATTGAGTTATTGTTTACAGGTCGGTGTATATTGAGTTATTGTTTACAGGTCAGCGTATATTGAGTTATTGTTTACAGGTCAGTGTATATTGAGTTATTGTTTACAGGTCAGCGTATATTGAGTTATTGTTTACAGGTTGGCGTATATTGAGTTATTGTTTTACAGGTTGGCGTATATTGAGTTATTGTTTACAGGTCGGCGTATATTGAGTTATTGTTTACAGGACAGCGTATATTGAGTTTATTGTTTACCGGTCGGTGTGTATATTGTGTAATTGTTTACAGGTCAGCGTATATTGAGTTATTGTTTACAGGTCAGCATATATTGAGTTATTGTTTAGAGGTCGGCATATATTGAGTTATTGTTTACAGGTCAGCATATATTGAGTTATTATTGTTTGCAGGTCAGCGTATAATGAGTTATTGTTTACAGGTCTGCGTATAATGAGTTATTGTTTACAGGTCACCGTATATCGAGTTATTATTGTTTACAGGTCACCGTATATCGAGTTATTGTTTACAGGTCGGCATATATTGTGTTATTGTTGACAGGTCTGCGTATATTGAGTTATTGTTTACAGGTCGGCGTATATCGAGTTATTGTTTACAGGTCTGCGTATATTGAGTTATTGTTGACAGGTCAGCGTATAATGAGTTATTGTTTACAGGTCAGCGTATAATGAGTTATTGTTGACAGGTCTGCGTATATTGAGTTATTGTTTACAGGTCGGCGTATATCGAGTTATTGTTTACATGTCAGCGTATATTTGAGTTATTGTTGACAGGTCTGCGTATATTGAGTTATTGTTGACAGGTCTGCGTATATTGAGTTATTGTTGACAGGTCAGCGTATAATGAGTTATTGTTTACCGGTCAGCATATATTGAGTTATTGTTTATGGGTCAGCTTATATTGTGTTATTGTTTACAGGTCAGCGTATATTGAGTTATTGTTTAGCAGGTCGGCGTATATCGAGTTATTGTTTACATGTCAGCGTATATTGAGTTATTGTTGACAGGTCTGCGTATATTGAGTTATTGTTGACAGGTCAGCGTATAATGAGTTATTGTTTACAGGTCAGCGTATATTGAGTTATTGTTGACAGGTCAGCGTATAATGAGTTATTGTTTACCGGTCAGCATATATTGAGTTATTGTTTATGGGTCAGCTTATATTGTGTTATTGTTTACGGGTCGGCGTATATTGTGTTATTGTTTACGGGTCAGCGTATATTGTGTTATTGTTTACAGGTCGGCTTATATTGAGTTATTGTTTACAGGTGAGCGTATATTGAGTTATTGTTCACAGGTCAGCATATATTGAGTTATTGTTTACAGGTCAGCGTATATTGAGTTATTGTTTACAGGTCAGCATATATTGAGTTATTGTTTACAGGTCAGCGTATATTGAGTTATTATTGTTTGGAGGTCAGCGTATAATGAGTTATTGTTTACAGGTCAGCGTTTATTGAGTTATTGTTTACAGGTCAGCTTATATTGAGTTATTGTTTACAGGTCAGCGTATATTGAGATATTATTTACAGGTCAGTGAATATTGAGTTATTATTGTTTGCAGGTAAGCGTATAATGAGTTATTGTTTACAGGTCAGCGTATATTGAGTTATTGTTAACAGGTAAGCGTATATTTAGTTATTATTTACAGGTCAGCGTATATTGAGTTATTATTTACAGGTCAGCGTATATTTAGTTATTATTTACAGGTCAGCGTATTTTGAGTTATTGTTTACATGTCAGCGTATATTGAGTAATTGTTTACAGGTCTGCGTATATTGAGTTATTATTTACAGGTCAGCATATATTGAGTTATTATTGTTTACAGGTCATCGTATATTGAGCAATTGTTTACATGTCAGCGTATATTGAGTTATTGTTTACAGGTCGGCATATATTGTGTTATTGTTTACAGGTCAGCATATATTGAGTTATTTTTGTTTACAGGTCAGCGTATAATGAGTTATGCGACAGCTGTATATGACTACGCAGCGACGGCAACAACACAGATCAACTTGAAGGCCGGAGACCGTATAGCGGTGCTCAGTAAAACAGGAAGTGATAAGGGATGGTGGAAAGGAGAACACCTGGCCACGCATAAAGTACTTTTTCTTTTCTTTTTACTGTTATAAAATTATTTTGTGATATAAATATTTAATGTTAAATTGTGAACATGTAACACACTTGTCACTTTCAGTGCTCCTTGAAGTTGACTCAGGAGTGTAAGATTTTTGAATTTTATGTTCTAAGGCTTTTTGATCTCATTTGAGATGCTTTAAGTTATTACACGAAAGTTTACCATTCAGTGTATCATTAAACTGTGGCCTTGAAATACACCTGCAGTAATATAGAATCATATAGAAATTATGATCTTACCAAGCAGTAGTAGTGGTGAACAATCTCAGCCAATCATGGCCATCGTCTATCATAACAAAAGAATGTAAGTAGTGTATAAGGCCAGTGGGTGCTGTGATGTATTACATCTTTCTAATCTTTATCTATCTTGTTTAGGTCGGCTATTTCCCATTTGCCTATGTGAGAGAAGAGGACGAAGAATGAAGCAACCCACCTTGATAAACTCGAGTCCCTAGACAAAAACATGGAATACTTCAGAGATGGTTTACCAAATGTTATAACATGAATACTTCAGAGATGATTTACCAAGTGTTATAACATTCAGAGATAATTCATTAAGTGATATAACATGACTACTTCAGAGATGGATTATCACATGTTATAACATGAATACTTTACCAAGTGTTATAACATGACTTTATCCAATTTTGCGGCCATACATTAAACTTTTATTATTTCATGATAAATGTAGAACATTGTTTGACAAAGTGACTCACTAAACTCTCTGTCAATATCAACTTCATATTTGAACAAGTTTTATTATATAAATGTCCAGCAGTTATATGGCTGTACACATAGATCAAAGTTTTTATGAAAACAATGTTGCATATACTACAGTCACTACAGACAGATATTATCATAAGCTATATATACTTGCTTTCTTCATATAGACAAATTTGCCTTATAAAATATTTTTCATTTTGAAAGAGTAGCATGTTAAAAAGCTTCCAACTTCAAACAAGGTGTAGCCTACAGTTGTATGGACTAAGGGTTTGATTGGATTTATTATTATTATCATGTTAAAATAATAGAGATAAGAAGAAAGTAGAGTGATGTTTGCTTATTTAATATAAATGGCACAGATAAAGAAGTAATCTGGGTTTTGTTTTGAAAATGAAGTGTGTTATGCGAATACCTCAGTTATTTTTTCAGCTTATTCCATTTTGACATTCTTTATTAACCCGTAATCAGCTGAATGTCTTAAATGGACTTGTCCATCTTTGAATTAGGAACAGTTCATTTAATGTTTTAAGGGATTTCAGAATCAAAATATAAAAATCAGGGTTTTTTTCCAGGATTTTGGGAACATGACCCATACCCATGGAATTGGTAATTTCAGCAATGTTTTGTTAAAAAAATGGGGGGAAAATGCACAACTTAAATTTTGCAATCATTAAATGAATGTAAAGAATCACTGTGTAGGATGACATCTTCAAATATTTAATCACCTTCACAGTGAAGAAGCCCTTATTTTCAAAGATTTTAGAATTTCTTATTCAATATTTCTGTTTTGTAACTTCAAAGTGGGAATTTTTTCCTGTGGATTGGGAAAATAATATACTTTTTTCAATTGGGAATATGACCGAATATAGGCTATAAGATAAACCCTGAAAATCAGGGTCAGACTGCATGGATGTGTCGGCTGATTTGGTTGTTTACTGGTTGTAAAGGCATGGGTTAAAGGTTATGGGTTAAAAATGGTTCGCTAGAGAAAAGTATCCTAGATATTAGTATGTTAAAGAAATATATTTTGTCTTTTTAAATTGAAATATCATCAGTCTGAATGGTGTTAATCATCTAATTAACACTGGTTTGGAGTTTCGATGTGTAGGATTTGACCACAAAGGCTGGTTAATTTTTTTGCATCAAAAGTACAAAACCGATGTTTAAAATAGCCAATAAACACCACTCAGACATTTATTATTTCGATTCTAACAAGACAAATTTAGTGAGATCACTAATTCTATTTTTTCAAGCCAAGATTACTTCCACTGCCGATTTTCATATAACGCTGTTCTTTTTCACACCCTTCTGTTGCTAAGGTATAAATATTATTGAACAAAAGAAACAATAAAAAGAAGTTTCACCTTATTATTCAAGAATTTTTTTCATATGACTGACTGGATTGTATGGTGTTAACATCGGTGCTCTATTAATCATTATTCTGGTGCCTCCATGAATGAGTTGCGTTATAGGTTAATGTCATTGTGTTGCTTACAAAGTGGCGCAGACTTTTGTTATATAAAATAAGTTGAAATCTGTGGCGTTCATGTATGCGAGATGTTATTTTAGCTTCATATGAAAAGAAATCATCATAAGAACAGAAAAGATCAATAATATTGTCTTATTGCTGTTCATTTCTTTTTTTCTTGAAATACCATTGTCTACTTTGATAAAAGAAAACATAACAAAGATATAAGGTATTTAATATTGGACTATATATATTTCATTGTTACATATGTAATATTGGACTATATATTTTTCATTGTTACATATATATATGTCATTGTTACACATGTAATATTGGACTATATATATGTCATTGTTACACATGTAATATTGGACTATATATATGTCATTGTTACACATGTAATATTGGACTATATATATATATATATGTCATTGTTACATATGTATTATTGGACTGTATATATGTCATTGTTACACATGTAATATTGGACTGTATATATGTCATTGTTACAAATGTAATATTGGACTGTATATGTCATTGTTACACATGTAATATTGGACTGTATATGTCATTGTTACACATGTAATATTGGACTGTATATATGTCATTATTACACATGTAATATTGGACTGTATATATGTCATTGTTACACATGTAATATTGGACTATATATATGTCATTGTTACACATGTAATATTGGACTATATATATGTCATTGTTACACATGTAATATTGGACTGTATATATGTCATTGTTACACATGTAATATTGGACTATATATATGTCATTGTTACACATGTAATATTGGACTATATATATGTCATTGTTACACATGTAATATTGGACTGTATATATGTCATTGTTACACATGTAATATTGGACTATATATATGTCATTGTTACACATGTAATATTGGACTATATATATATGTCATTGTTACACATGTAATATTGGACTATATATATATGTCATTGTTACGCATATCTCATTCTAGCAGGTTTATAAAAGGAGTTTAATTGTTACTTTTTCAAAGTTTCATTAAACCAATGTGGGATTTTGTGTTATCATTTAATTATGCTAAAATTGTTGGAATAATGAAATTTTTGTTCTGTTGTTTAAGCAGTTGCCAAAATCAAGTTGAAATTATTTGTTGTTTATTGTTTTGTACAAGGTATGTGATGAGATAGAGCTGTAATGTTATAGGGTAGATACAGTGTGAAATGTTCCAGTAGGTTTGACTACTACCCTGTGACATAAATGGAGAAGAAATCCTCCAAAATTTTACTGAAAATTAAATAATAACGGGTTTATTTTATTTTCCCATGTTACAGATAAAAATGTAAACACAGTATATACATCTGTCCTTATTCATTTTGTAAAACATTTATTTACCATAGAGTGATGTATTATTTGTATATGATATAAATGACTAATTGTGACAAATCAATTAATATATAAAAAGAATCATTATTTTGAATGTACTATAAATATATATATATATATAGATTTTGTGCATAATTTGTTCTGAATTGTCTCCCTTTTGGGCATATGCTGTGTAATCCCTGGGCATATGCTGTGTAATCCCTATGCCTATGTGCTCTCTTCATGTGTAATTATTAATGTAACATGCTCTCTGCCTGTGTTTATTTGTTACGCGTAAAACACACCATGCCGACTGTAACATATAAATTGTAACTCTGATTTTCTTTTTTTGTATTGAAAGTTAATGATAGGTAAAATGTGTAGTTTGTATCAGTATTGAAAATTATTCCCTTGGCATTTTAATGATACAAGATATATATAATGTTGTAATCTGGCGACAATCGTTCAAGTTCATTCCTATAAGAAAAAGAATTTTAAAAGTATTACCTCGGGTCGAATTCTTCTAGATAAATAAAAAAAAAAATTGAAATATTTGGGTTCTACTAAATCATTTATAAACTAAAGATATAGTAACTATATTCACTGTGTATGTATTATATTAAAATTGTGTCACAGGTGAATTTATTAGAAATAAAAGATGCTATATATTTTGATTGATCATTAATTCATACTGAATTTCAAACAATCTATAGATATTGTCCAACCGCTTGAGACAGCTTATATCCTAGAAAACTTTTGTTTTATCTCCCAACCCCCATTACATTGTCCAACCAGTTTATGCCTGAAAACATTTCTGTCACCACCAGTACTCCGGGATTTGTTGTCTTAAAATTGGATATGAAATATATCTAATTTACAGTTGTTCATAAAGATAGGATATGAAATACATCTAATTTACAGTTGTTCATAAACATAGGATATGAAATATATCTAATTTACAGTTGTTCATAAACATAGGATATGAAATATATCTAATTTACAGTTGTTCATAAACATAGGATATGAAATATATCTAATTTACAGTTGTTCATAAAGATTGGATATGAAATATATCTAATTTACAGTTGTTCATAAAGATTGGATATGAAATATATCTAATTTACAGTTGTTCATAAAGATAGGATATGAAATATATCTAATTTACAGTTGTTCATAAAGATAGGATATGAAATATATCTAATTTACAGTTGTTCATAAACATTGGATATGAAATATATCTAATTTACAGTTGTTCATAAAGATAGGATATGAAATATATCTCATTTACAGTTGTTCATAAAAGATAGGATATAAAATATATTCCATTTACAATTAAACCAAATTTCACATTGTTTTAGTCAATATTTAGGAATAATATTGTTTATATGATATAACATGGTGTGACTCTGAGTGATAATTCAGTTTAAAGTGGAACATATTTACAAAAGAGTTTTTGAAGAAACTACTTTATTTGTAACTATATCTGTGAAATTGAATTTAGATATGAAAAAAAAAATTATTGTCTATGATAATCAAGATGTTAATTCAATGTGTAAATTTGTAATATTAAAGTGAGATTATGCCCATGAGAATGTAAGTGAATAGGTTAAAATCAAAATAATTTGATGTTTTCCCAAAATTGTGTTCAATTTTATATATTTCAATGAAAAGATAAGATCAATAATCCACTTGACTGACGGAAAATTTTATAAATATTGTTCAGAATATATAAGGAGCATTCAATTATCAAAAAAGGGGTGGGGGCAGTCTTTATTAATGGGGTTGTTTTAATATTTTATCATATATATTTTACATTATCAAATATTGGTCAATCACCATTATAATATTAGTCAATCTTTTAGAAATATATGCTTAATTCAACTCAACATGACAGCAAAAACAAAACAAAAATTGAGCATAATGTCACTTTAATTTTGGGATTTTACAAAATACATTTTTCCTGCTGTTTTTCCTCTTAATCGTTATAAACATGTGGTGGCACATTTAAAGATAATGTTATATCAGTGATTCTATTATAATAATTATAATTCAGCTCCACTTTCTCTCGTTCCAACAACATCCAGTATTATAAATAAACTGAATTTCTTTATGAACATTTTTTAGTTACTGTATATATATATTTTTTTTTTTGTAATATAGTTTTTGCTCAAGACACAGTTTATGATATAAATGTATACGGTCAGTGTTTTCCCCACTTTAAGGATTACAAAAAATGAAAAATTGAGATTTTTTTTCTAGACTTTTCTTTTTGTGCCTAAGATGATTTAATGTCATGTTTCTGTTGATTATGAATGGCAATACTTTCTCTACCTAGTAAGTTATTTTACTTTGTGAATGCTTGCACTTAAACTTCAAGGGTATAAATCTATAATATAAATCTATATCTTATGAAATATTTTAATAAAATTTATCAACAGTAAAATTATATTGGTTCCATTATAATATGGTTGATTCCTGAAAAAGTTGTACCATAGAATGTCTCTGTTATTTAATACACATGAATAATGTACCTAAACAGAATGAAATGTTACGGAAAACAAATATTATTAAGGTTTAATCTGTTAAGCAATGTTTTTGTGCATGACTCATTCGCTTTTAAGGCAATAAATTACCATATTTATTTCATAACAAGCATTTTGGAAGAATAACTTAGTTAAACCAGAAATTTGTCACTCTCCTTGCCTCCAATAAATTGATTTGATCACTTCAGTTTTTGTATTTTCTTATGATCATTCAGTTTCATTAACCTGTCAATATACATACCTGATAGCACTGTTAATGCATATTATACTAAACTTAGATAGCTTTCTCCGCAGTACCTGTAAAATGATTGTAAATCAACATTTTTACAAGTGTAATTTATGTCATCATACAAAGTCCCACTAACTAGACGGATATGTCATAAGTTTGATAGAATAATGATATAATTGTTGTTATATATGTATATTTGACAGGTTAATGAAAACATATGAAAATAGAATCAATTTATACTGGATATGTCTGTAAAAATTCTAGAAAAACATCAAAATCTCAATTATTCTACATTTTTAAATTGTTACCAATACTGGCATATATAAGATGTTGAATGTTTCAATCATAATTATATTGTTTTGTCAATATTGACCCAAGACATTTGAATATTCAATGACATTTTGTCGGTAAATGTTGTTATTGTCATATTCCGAAGTAAAAATCATACATATATTTTAGTATGGCATAACGGTAAACATGGTTTATGTTTAAAGTTGCCGACACAACACTTGCCTAACTAGCCTCAGTTAAGACCTTTGGTTTCAAATTGAAGTTTATAGGTTCACATCTTCATGAACTTGACTACTAGATTTTTGTGCATGCCAACCACCCATTGTACAACTGTACAAATTGAAGTTATAAAAATTTACATATACATCTATATATCAAGGGTTTTTTTAAAGAAAAGACAAAAGAAATGGTTCATCCACTAATGCTGCATCTAATTAACAAAAAACAAAAACTTGAAGACATCTGAAAATAATGTTTTTTTGAGAATTCAAACTTGCATATGCTGTCATACTAACCACTAGGCTATCAAGACATTTGTATAAAATAAAGTATCGCAAACTTTCCTATTATTAAAAGTCGGTAAAGCATAATAAATTACAGAAACTAACAATAAAAATTAGGAAAAATAATGAGGTTCCGGTCAATATTGATAAACAATACCTGTCAATAGAGAAAAAATCACATTTTTTAACTAAATATAACTTTAGTAGATGTGAAAAATGTGTAGTTGGACCTTCATAGATGCTCAGTAAACATAAGACATTGGTTTAAATAAATGTGGTGAAATTGTCAAATTTAAAAACATTATGGTCAGTCATTTTGCTGTTCTTGTTGTTATGTTTTTTGTGGTGTTAAATGTTGGAGACATTTCAATATAGCTTCTATTCTGTATTTAGTCTTTTGTTTCACTTTTTCATTTGTAACGTTTTGTTACACTTTTGCATTTGTAAGGAACAATTTGTGTACATATATTTGCTATTCATTTACATTTTAAGTTTTTTATTGTTTCACACAGTATATATATATATACAATGTACATCTGTTGATTACATCTTTTTGTTTTAAAGAATATGTCTTCTTAAAGATATAGTGCTAACAAAAATATTAAAATGCAAAATCTGTATATTTTGTCTTTGTTATATCTTTCTTTGAAATACTAACTTTGATTTGTCAAAAACTTCAAATTTGACCATTTTCTATCCTGTAGATTTAAACTATCTCCTTGAATAAAAAAATGCTAAAAAATCTTTTTAATATCTTTCTGCAAAGCAAAGTTTATATAAATGGTCCCAGTCCGTCCATTCGTTAACACTTTTGTATCCGTCTCATTACTTTAACGGCTGAAAAAAAATTGAAATAACTTGGCACAAGTGATCACCATTATGTGACAATTTGGAAAACATAATAATTGGGTTGTTACCCCCAAGGTCAAGGTCACACTTAAAGGTCAAGTGTCCACTCCGCAACAATCAAGTCAGTACCCTCAAGGTCAGGATCTCACTCAAAAGTCCAATGTTAAACCTCAATTTTTCACATCCGCTCAATTCAAAGGTTTTAAAATTACAGCCTAACTTGCCCATGCGGCCATGTGTATTAAGCTACTTTTGTCCCATGCTAAATTACTTTGCACAAATGGTCATCATAATGACATGATGTGTGGAGGTCAATATTCAGGTTGCTATCCCGAAGGTCTAGGCCACACATTGAAGGCAAATGTTAAAAGTCAACAATTTTGTGCCCTCTTTAAAACTTTTTAACTACTGAAATTTTGTAATTATATTGGCACAAATGATCACCTACAGAGGGCAACAACTAGGTGGCTACCTCTAATGTCAAAGTTATAACATAACCAGCTGTCTTGTAATCCTCACCTGAATGATTTGTAAAACATGAAAACTATACAACAAATAATTTATAACTAGAGTCACAATCAAAGTATATATAGGATATTTGTTTGTTTTGCATGTAAGATTGAAATATAATTTCACTGAGTGAACACCAGATGCAATATTTTCACGAGTGGCGTAGCCACGAGTGAAAATATAATAGCTGGTGTTCACGAATGAATTATATTTCAATCTTATATGTAACACAAATAAATTTTCTTTTTATTTCATGCTTTTTAAGGAATTTTCAGTATTTTTTTACCGATTTTGCCGCGTAATGTCACGCATTCTCCTTTGTGATGTCATCATATCATGAAGTCACATCATCAATTTTGAAATATAGTTCTGTTAAATTTCTCTAATTTTGTTACATTTTTAACATGATAAATGATGACCTGGACTTTCTTTTCCTAAAGATTAAAAATTTATGCATGACGGCATTTATTTCTGTCTGTTATTCCATTTAGTTATGATTTTCTTTTCATCCGCATTCAGATATGGTCCGGCTACAGTGAAAATTATATTTTATAAATTTCACTAGTGGTTTATCAGAATATAATCATCTGATATATTACAATAAAACACTGGAAAGCATGAAATAATATATGTTAAAACAAAACATATTACTAAAGCCCACAGGACAGCAATTTTGCCTAAAGCATGTTACAACCAGATATGTCAATTTACGAAGTCTAAAATTACCCATGGTTTCTAACAAAATAAGAGGATCTTTGAAGGTATCCTGAATATGGATTATAATTGGTCAATGACTGAAACAAACTTTTGTGATGAACAAATTTGCTTATGATATGCATGGCACAACATCAAGGTCGTGGTTGATTTATGGTCAAGAAGTACACATTCATGTCTGCTATGGAGGGAGATTTAGCTGTCCTTCAGACTGCCTTGTTAAAAAAAAAAAGTGCAATGATATAATTTCTACAGATGACACTTACAGTTAATGTAAAGAAAAGCCAAGTACTACCAAGTTGTACAAAACCAAAGATAGATACATGAACCACATGTGTATATATGGCAATTGAATTTTAAGTATACCTAAGTTAAGAATCAATAGATATAAAAGGTAAACATTTAAGTACATGATTATGACATGCACTATTTCAGGGCACCCAAGTTGAACCACCAATGTTGGATAGCTTCCTAACAGCTTATTTAAAGTCTCTGGAAGCATTGATACCACAGCTGTGGGGGGCAAGAGGTGCAACCTTGATCACTGGGCCATTATAGGATACCACTAACTCCTGAATTACCAAGCAAATCAATAAATCATTCTCCCTTTGCACAACATTTTTTTTTCTTTTCCAAGAAGCTTTAAATATGCAGATATAGTAAGTACATCCGTCTATCATTTCAACGTAACAAATGTGTACAAATCAGACTAGAAACAAAGTAAACTTTATTATATTAAACTATAAACAGGGAAACAAACAACATTGTACATGTATACAAAATATAAATATATATGTCATATAAATCATATAAATGTTATTTCAACACAACTATAAATTATAGAAATAGTAGTTTGTAAATATCACATGTACGACAAACAAGACCTATCATATGACTGACCATTCTCAGTGGTCACTGGGACATATCTGGGACAAGACTATTCTCAGTGGTGACTGGGACATATCAGGGACAAGACTATTCTCAGTGGTGACTGGGACATATCTGGGACAAGACTATTCTCAGTGGTGACTGGGACATATCAGGGACAAGACTATTTTCAATGCTGGCTGGGACATATCAGGGACAAGACTATTCTCAGTGGTGACTGGGACATATCTGGGACAAGACTATTCTCAGTGGTGGCTGGGACATATCAGGGACAAGACCATTCTCAGTGGTGACTGGGACATATCTGGGACAAGACTATTCTCAGTGGTGACTGGGACATATCTGGGACAAGACCATTCTCAATGCTGGCTGGGACATATCTGGGACAAGACCATTCTCAGTGCTGGCTGGGACATATCTGGGACAAGACCATTCTCAATGCTGGCTGGGACATATCTGGACAAGACCATTCTCAATGCTGGCTGGACTTATCTGGAACAAGACCATTCTCAGTGATGACTGGGACATATCTGGGACAAGACCATTCTCAATGCTGGCTGGGACTTATCTGGAACAAGACCATTCTCAGTGATGACTGGGACATATCAGGGACAAGACCATTCTCAATGCTGGCTGGGACTTATCTGGAACAAGACCATTCTCAGTGATGACTGGGACATATCTGGGACAAGACCATTCTCAATGCTGGCTGGGACATATCTGGGACAAGACCATTCTCAGTGCTGGCTGGGACATATCTGGGACAAGACCATTCTCAGTGGTGACTGGGGACATATCTGGGACAAGACCATTCTCAATGCTGGCTGGGACATATCAGGGACAAGACCATTCTCAGTGATGACTGGGTCATATCTGGACAAGACCATTCTCAATGCTGGCTGGGACATATCTGGGACAAGACCATTCTCAGTGGTAACTGGGACATATCTGGGACAAGACCATTCTTGGTGGTGACTGGGACATATCTGGGACAAGACCATTCTCAATGCTGGCTGGGACATATCTGGGACAAGACCATTCTCAGTGATGACTGGGACATATCTGGGACAAGACCATTCTCAATGCTGGCTGGGACATATCAGGGACAAGACCATTCTCAGTGATGACTGGTTCATATCTGGGACAAGACCATTCTCAGTGGTGACTGGGACATATCTGGGACACGACCATTCTCAGTGGTGACTGGGACATATCTGGGACAAGACCATTCTTGGTGGTGACTGGGACATATCTGGGACAAGACCATTCTCAGTGCTGACTGGGACATATCTGGGACAAGACTATTCTCAGTGCTGGCTGGGACATATCAGGGACAAGACCATTCTCAGTGGTGACTGGGACATATCTGGACATGACCATTCTCAGTGGTGACTGGGACATATCTGGGACAAGACCATTCTCAATGGTGACTGGGACATATCTGGGACAAGACCATTCTCGGTGCTGGCTGGGACATATCTGGGACAAGACCATTCTCAGTGGTAACTGGGACATATCTGGACAATACCATTCTCGGTGATGACTGGGTCATATCTGGGACAAGACCATTCTCAGTGATGACTGGGACATATCTGGGACAAGACCATTCTCAGTGGTGACTGGACATATCTGGGACAAGACTATTCTCAATGCTGGCTGGGACATATCTGGGACAATACCATTCTCAGTGGTGACTGGGACATATCTGGGACAAGACTATTCTCAGTGATGACTGGGACATATCTGGGACAAGACTATTCTCAGTGGTGACTGGGACATTTCTGGGACAAGACCATTCTCAGTGGTGACTGGGACATATCTGAGACAAGACCATTCTCAGTGGTGACTGGGACATATCTGGGACAAGACCATTCTCGTGATGACTGGGACATATCTGGGACAAGACCATTCTCAGTGGTAACTGGGATATATCTGGGACAAGACCATTCTCGGTGATGACTGGGTCATATCTGGGACAAGACCATTCTCAGTGATGACTGGGACATATCTGGGACAAGACCATTCTCAGTGGTGACTGGGACATATCTGGACAAGACCATTTTCAGTGATGACTGGGACATATCTGGGACAAGACCATTCTCAGTGGTAACTGGGACATATCTGGGACAAGACCATTCTCAATGGTGATTGGGACATATCTGGGACAAGACCATTCTCAGTGATGACTGGGACATATCTGGGACAAGACCATTCTCAGTGCTGGCTGGGAAATAATATTACAAGAGAAGCAATTTGTGACCAGATAAATGGTCTGATGTAAGAATCATACATCAGTTGGCATACATGTATATTTCTCTTAATAACAAAAACAAAAATACTGACCTCACAATAATCAACAATGATAACTAGATACTAATCTCTTGTTGCTGGTCACATGACATTATCTCCAAGTTACTGGACAATAAAACAGGCTGAGCACCAACATTAAATAACTCAAGTTTACAAAGATTGACAAATCAGTTAAATTTAATACTAGAGTGAAAGATCTGAGATATTGACAAACAAAATTTATTATGACCAAAAAAAAGCAATCATGTAGTCAATATCTTCTTTGGTTATAAAATCTGACCATACATTTCACATGTAAAATTCACCAAAAAATCCATGCTAGATTAACAAGTCACCTCCAATTATAAACCAAAAAGCTTGTGTGAGGTTTCTATTGTAATAGATGATGGATAATGTTAGCAAATAAACTATGTGTTTTACTGACAACGATAGATGAACTAGTCATCAAATAGTCGAGTAAATACTTACAAAATAAGTCACTTAATTAACAGTTCCTGACCAATCAGATTGCGGCAAGCTTTATAAACTTCAATTCGAGTCAAAGGAATTAGTCTCAAACAGAATTTATAAGGGTTCCTTATATAAAAGTCCATCTGAAATTGATAATAATCAAGTTTAAACACCAGTTTCTCTAACAATTTGACTTGAATCATTGTTTAATAAAACTGACGTAGTTCCACATTCCGGTGGCTGATAGTAACTCAAACACTCGTCAATAATTTCATCAAGGGAGACCACTGATGGGCTGGTTTCATTAAGGGTGGTAATATCATTGTTATTGTCATCTTGAAGTAATGGTTCTGTGGGTGTGACAGGATTAAACATGGCAGCTTTATATGACTCCAAAGAGCAGCCGATAAATGACGTAGACACTAAATTATTGTTGTTACATTTCTTCTTTTTTGAAATTGGTGTCTGAAAAAAAGGAAAATAAATCAACAGCCTGTATGATTCCTAAAAACTAAAATTTACATGAACTCCCAAATTATTCATGAACTCCCACATTATTCATGAATTCCCACATTATTTATGAACTTCAACATTTTTGTGAACTCTGGTAATGCTTTCAACAAAAAGCCTTCAGCAAGCAGGAACAGTTTACTGCATTTTAGGATTTTTCTTATTACCAAAGATGCTTTTTTGCCTAAGGTCATTCAAACTCCAGTTTGGTCCTAAATGATGGTTTCTCAAATTATTGAACAAATACATCTATAAATTAATATTCATTGAAAATGAAATAATTTTCAAAATATGACCTTGATGTTCATTAAGGATATTCATGGTCATATTCACTTTAAGGCATTATGATGATGTTAGGGTTATTTTTGGGTTCAAATATTAATCATATAAGTGCATTAACAAACAGTTATACGAAATTGAAACAGCATTTCACATCTGACCTTGGCAGTCAAGGTCATTTTAAGGTGAAGATCATAAAATAAGTTTGAGGAAATTGTATTAACTCTGCAGCACAAATTTAGCGCAAATGTCAAGTTCAGACTCAAATGCCACAAAAGTAACTTTTAACATAAAAGAAATTACAAGCAGTTATTTGTTGTCTTTTTTATGTGTATAACATACAAGGTATTAGTGTAAAATTGTGAAGTTTTTTTGTATACGGAAGTTTTTGTATGCCTAGAAAACTTTTACAGGTAGGTGTTTAGTCTAGTTGGGTTTTGTTAAACATCGGAACTTGGTATATAGCAAGCTTACATGCAGACCTTGCTAATTGCAATTTGCCTATGAACCCCCTACAACCAAAGTCAGTTACTTAAAATAGAACAATGGTTGTCTCGTCAATTACTGTCATCCAGCAACATGATGAAGAGACATTACTTGAAATTGCTTTCATGCCCCCTAGGGTCAAGGTCAATGTTACTGTAAATATAATATCATTTTCCAATTTATAACTATAGTTAGGTAACAGGTATTGTTATGGAGATATTGTATTCAAAACTTAGTACATAACTATGTAACTATTGTTTGGTCTAGGTTCAATTGTTTTGGTTGATATGTCGTTAGGAATGAGTTATTTGATTAGTATGTTGACATGACATGAATAATTAGGATCTAACCTTGACCTTATTATGGTTACCTTTAAGGTCATGTCCCTGAATTTTGCTACAATTGCCCCAACTTTTTTCTTTATAGATGGATTAAATTCATACTTAGACAAAACAACATTTCTAACAGAATATACTTGTTATTTAAAATCCTGATGGTTTTAAGAGTTGACCCAGATAATACGAGGAGCCGTGACTTTACAAGAAGCAGAGATACTGGTGAGCAATAAATAAAATAAAATTGGTAACTGAAAAATGCCTCTTGCCTCACTGGCTTTATACATAATAAAATCAGCACACTAAAGTGTCATCAACAAGTACATGTTACATAAATGACACTATTGTTGTGGAAAAATAAAAAAATTCAAATCCTCGCTCCCAAAAGCTATAAAAGTGACATATTTCTGACCAGATCAGTGCTCTATTTTTTGTAAGTGATAAATAAAAAACTATTAACCTTTTGTCTAGCTGACGGCAACTTCACCGGAAATCTTCTGAAGATTTTATTGCTAGTATCACCAGGACAACTGTTTTTCTGCTTGATCTGAATAATGTGATGTTCTACATGCCACAGGTGTACACGTCTCCTCATACGTCTTACAGCCACCTGTACTCATGTTACATTATAATATATTTATCATTGTATCCTATAGTTACATATAAATATAGTTATATATGCCTCGTGTTACATAATATATTTATCATTGTATCATGTAGTTATAGTTATATATGCCTCGTGTTACTTAATAATATATTTATCATTGTATCCTATAGTTATATATTAGTTATATATGCCTTGTGTTACATAATAATATATTTATCATTGTATCCTATAGTTATATATAGTTATATATGCCTCGTGTTACATAATAATATATTTATCATTGTATCCTATAATTATATATAGTTTTATTTAATTTTACCCATGAAATATGGTGCTATATCAGTCAAATATATTTCATATTTTTTTAAAATAAATATGAAATATAAATATGAAAGTGGGCGGAGTCAAAACTCATATTCATTTAAGGGGACTTCTTTCGCCATTTTCTTTACAAAATCTGATAAATAAATAACAAATTTTTGTTGAATTTTGATTTGAAAACTATCTAGAATGATAGGAAATGGTCTAACTAAGAAAATAAATCCGAACACCAATATCTTTAATTCAGTCATTAACGCTGTACAGACGTTTAAAAGAGTTGTTTACGTGACGTCACAATGTAGCGCTAAATATCGCGTGCAAAACAAGACAATAATTATATTACTGCGCGCTGTACAATTGCAGTTGCGTAGCAAGCAAAGGGGTTCGTAACCATTTTCTTTGAAAATGAAATTAAATAAAAAGGTTTTTTTTTCGATTTTCGTGAAATATGGTATATATTTTCACTTAACATGATAAAATGCCACATATTTTCACTCGCCGTCCCGGCTCGTGAAAATATGTGGCATTTTATCATGTTTCGTGAAAATATATTCCATATTTCACTCAAACGAAAAAATATCCTCTTAATATATGCCTTGTGTTACATAATAATATATTTATCATTGTATCCTATAATTATATATAGTTATATATGCCTTGTGTTACATAATAATATATTTATCATTGTATCCTATAGTTATATATAGTTATATATGCCTCGTGTTACATAATAATATATTTATCATTGTATCCTATAGTTATATATAGTTATATATGCCTCGTGTTACTTAATAATATATTTATCATTGTATCCTATAGTTATATATAGTTATATATGCCTCGTGTTACATAATAATATATTTATCATTGTATCCTATAGTTATATATAGTTATATATGCCTTGTGTTACTTAATAATATATTTATCATTGTATCCTATAGTTATATATAGTTATATATGCCTTGTGTTACATAATAATATATTTATCATTGTATCCTATAGTTATATATAGTTATATATGCCTCGTGTTACTTAATAATATATTTATCATTGTATCCTATAGTTATATATAGTTATATATGCCTCGTGTTACATAATAATATATTTATCATTGTATCCTATAGTTATATATAGTTATATATGCCTCGTGTTACATAATAATATATTTAACATTGTATCCTATAGTTATATATAGTTATATATGCCTCGTGTTACTTAATAATATATTTATCATTGTATCCTATAGTTATATATAGTTATATATGCCTCGTGTTACTTAATAATATATTTATCATTGTATCCTATAGTTATATATAGTTATATATGCCTCGTGTTACTTAATAATATATTTATCATTGTATCCTATAGTTATATATAGTTATATATGCCTCGTGTTACTTAATAATATATTTTATCATTGTATCCTATAGTTATATATAGTTATATATGCCTCGTGTTACATAATAATATATTTATCATTGTATCCTATAGTTATATATAGTTATATATGCCTCGTGTTACTTAATAATATATTTATCATTGTATCCTATAGTTATATATAGTTATATATGCCTCGTGTTACATAATAATATATTTATCATTGTATCCTATAGTTATATATAGTTATATATGCCTCGTGTTACATAATAATATATTTATCATTGTATCCTATAGTTATATATAGTTATATATGCCTCGTGTTACTTAATAATATATTTATCATTGTATCCTATAGTTATATATAGTTATATATGCCTCGTGTTACATAATAATATATTTATCATTGTATCCTATAGTTATATATAGTTATATATGCCTCGTGTTACATAATAATATATTTATCATTGTATCCTATAGTTATATATAGTTATATATGCCTCGTGTTACTTAATAATATATTTATCATTGTATCCTATAGTTATATATAGTTATATATGCCTCGTGTTACATAATAATATATTTATCATTGTATCCTATAGTTATATATAGTTATATATGCCTCGTGTTACTTAATAATATATTTATCATTGTATCCTATAGTTATATATAGTTATATATGCCTCGTGTTACATAATAATATATTTATCATTGTATCCTATAGTTATATATAGTTATATATGCCTCGTGTTACTTAATAATATATTTATCATTGTATCCTATAGTTATATATAGTTATATATGCCTCGTGTTACTTAATAATATATTTATCATTGTATCCTATAGTTATATATAGTTATATATGCCTCGTGTTACTTAATAATATATTTATCATTGTATCCTATAGTTATATATAGTTATATATGCCTCGTGTTACTTAATAAATATATTTATCATTGTATCCTATAGTTATATATAGTTATATATGCCTCGTGTTACTTAATAATATATTTATCATTGTATCCTATAGTTATATATAGTTATATATGCCTCGTGTTACTTAATAATATATTTATCATTGTATCCTATAGTTATATATAGTTATATATGCCTCGTGTTACTTAATAATATATTTATCATTGTATCCTATAGTTATATATAGTTATATATGCCTCGTGTTACATAATAATATATTTATCATTGTATCCTATAGTTATATATAGTTATATATGCCTCGTGTTACTTAATAATATATTCATCATTGTATCCTATAATTATATATAGTTATATATGCCTCGTGTTACATAATAATATATTTATCATTGTATCCTATAGTTATATATAGTTATATATGCCTCGTGTTACATAATAATATATTTATCATTGTATCCTATAGTTATATGTGCCTGGTGTTACAATATATGTTTAAAGTTTATCCTACATGCAGTTACATATAGATATACAGTCGAACTTCTTTCGCTCGAACTCGGAGGGTCTGTGAAAATTTGTTCGAGAGATCGGTAGTTCGAGCCAACTGAGGTTGAACTATTATTACCTAAAGGTTTTCCAGCTTACATAGGTCAAATGATAAATACGTCAATATAATTGTTGTTAGAACATCTGTTTGTCGAATACATCATATTAAGAATTATTATACTATTGAAAACAATATTAACGGTACACTGTGTTAATCTATATTTATGCATATTGTAATTGGTTGAGTTCAATTGGGCGATCTTTATCCAAACTGTGAACAATGTTCAAAATATATTTATATGTCTATTATGGAATTAATTTTATTTTAAACAATGAATTCATTAAATATAAAAAATAACATTTTACAGCAGCAAATATTTGTAGTCATTTACTAAAATAAACACGTACAAGTATCATTCTATAAATAAATTACACTGACAATTCACGATACATGAACCACGGTTGTAATTAAAGCCGTCCGGGTAAACGTCATTTATTTATTGACTTTTGCGCATTTCAGAAGTCGTTTTCTTTTTATCGTTACTAAAGACGGCAAATATACAATTTTATCATAACAAACAAGAAACATGGCAATGCCATGAAACCAGGTTTTCAATTATCACCATTGTAGATAAATATGTTGTATTTGAAATACAAATACAAGCAACAAACAATGTAACTATGTGCAATGTAAAACATGAATAATGTAGGAGGAATTGCCACAGAGGAAGTGTTCACTATAATTATATTCTGTATAAGGAAACTAGAACTCCGCGAGTCGGATGTGTCGCCTTGTGAACAATGTAATGGCCAGGACAAAAATGAAATATGAAAAATAACAAAGGGCAATAACTAAAAAAATAATAAGTGCAGAGCAGCAGTTTCTGTGCACTGCACTTCTTATCAATAAGATCTATCATTCTATGATGTTTCAAGTCCATAGCTTTCATACTTGAGGAGAAATGACAAGGACAAAATTAAAGTATGAAAATAAACAAAGGGCAGTAACTCAAAAAATAAATAAATGCAGAGTACCTGTTCTTGTGCACTGCACTTCTTCTTAATGAGACCTATCATCCTATGAAGTTTCAAGTCCATGGCTTTTATACATTAGGAGAAATGGCCCGGACAAAATAAAGTATGAAAATTAACAAAGGGCAATTACTCAAAATTAGGAAGTGCAGAGTACCTGTTCTTGTGCACTGCACTTCTTCTTAATGAGATCTATCATCCTATGAAGTTTCAAGTCCATAGCTTTTTTAGTTGAAGAGAAATGGCCCGGACAAAATTAAAGTATGATAAACAGGATTTTCAATGTTAATGTCACTGTGACCTTGACCTTGGAGCCAGCCATGCGGAACATGCGTTCTGCACGTCATCTTGATGTGGTAAACATTTGTCTGAAGTTTCATCAAAATTCTTCAAAGGGTTGAAGAGTTACAGAGCGGACAGGATTTTCAATGTTAATGTCACTGTGACCTTGACCTTGGAGCCAGCCATGCGGAACATGCGTTCTGCACGTCATCTTGATGTGGTAAACATTTGTCTGAAGTTTCATCAAAATTCTTCAAAGGGTTGAAGAGTTACAGAGCGGACAGGATTTTCAATGTTAATGTCACTGTGACCTTGACCTTGGAGCCAGCCATGCGGAACATGCGTTCTGCACGTCATCTTGATGTGGTTAACATTTGTCTGAAGTTTCATCAAAATTCTTCAAAGGGTTGAAGAGTTACAGAGCGGACACAATTTCGTTTGACACGCCCGCCCATCCGCATTTTCAATGTTAATGTCACTGTGACCTTGACCTTGGAGCCAGCCATGCGGAACATGCGTTCTGCACGTCTCTTTGATGTGGTAAACATTTGTCTGAAGTTTCATCAAAATTCTTCAAAGGGTTGAAGAGTTACAGAGCGGACAGGATTTTCAATGTTAATGTCACTGTGACCTTGACCTTGGAGCCAGCCATGCGGAACATGCGTTCTGCACGTCATCTTGATGTGGTAAACATTTGTCTGAAGTTTCATCAAAATTCTTCAAAGGGTTGAAGAGTTACAGAGCGGACACAATTTCGTTTGACGCCCGCCCATCCGCCCATCCGCCCATCCGCCCAGCCGCCCATCCGCCCATCCGCCCATCCGCCCGCCATACCCCAATCTAATAACCAGGATTTTCAAAATTGAAAACCTGGTTAACAAATCTGTTACAACACCTTTTATTTTGTATCAATAAACCTTAATTGCCTTTGTCACGATCACGAGGTGTTAAAAACATGTGTCACCGATTGTCAATTATTTAGAACATGTCGACCTGCAACTTTTGTTGTCTGTTTGTGTGCGACCGAAAAGGTGTGATTTACACTATATTTCTGCCGAAGGGACCAGAGATCATGTTCGAGAGTTTGAGCGATGGGTGTTCGAGCGATCCGAGGTAGAACAATATATTATTATATAGGAATTTTGCCGGGACTGGACTATGAGTTCGAGCGAAAGGAGGTATTCGAGCGATCCGAGTTCGAGCGAACGAAGTTTAACTGTATATACATGGAATGAAAACTATATTGTAGAACAAATTGCGCTATGCAGAAATATTTCATTGCATTAAACAATGGGATCTGACCAGATTTGTTTTCATGAATTTCTTACCAGTGTTAGCATGATAATTATACTACCGCCAAGGGAGATAATACAGTACACTTACAAACATCCATATAGCGTACAGCATGACGGAGCAGACGGTCAAAATAATTAGAACTGCTGCTGGCCCCGGCTTGTGCTCATCTGTCAAACGTTTAGCAAACACAAGACATAGTACAGCAACAGCAAGGACAAGACCTGCGAGGGTAACCAGTATCACTATATCCTTCACTATCAACAGTCTGTCTTCTTTCAACGTCGGTTCCTGCATGTACTGTAAATAATAACATACATGTATACTCTATTATATCATTGAAATATCTGTCCTATATGAGACGATTATAGTTATAAGCAGTAAGAACATATAATTTGTGACTGACTTAAACATACTTAATGTCTAAAGCTTTACTGTTACGAGTCATTTTGAATGATGTTTACAGAAATTGTAAGACGCTTGTTTCGGTATTGATTCTTCCTAGAAGTTTAGTATTTAAACAATACGAGAATTTAAAGGGCAAATGCAACGGAAATCATGTCGGCTAAACGCATTTTAAGATAAAGTAAAGCAGGCAAAATTTTATCATCATTATGCAAAGAGAGGAAATAATACATTATTAAAGGCTTAATGAATCGAAATTGTGAAAATTTCATCAGAATTGTGAACGGGTCCGTTGGAACCAGTTTCAGAAAATTGTGAAGGTCCTTTTTGTGATTGTGAATGGGTCCCTTATTGGGTACCATTTATATAGGGAAAAAAATCGCTGAATCATAAATGTTGGTATCTTAAAGTGATAGTAACATATATACCCATTTTAATGGTCGAGGTTTTTTCTGTACGATAAACTGGAACTGACAGATTTCACACTTTGTTGTATTTGAAGATCCGAGCCATCTCTCTAGACATGATACGTGTAGCATACCCATGGTTCCGGCACAATGACACGGTGACACAAGCTTCTCCATACTGCCGTCCTCGTGACATATACGACACATGTTACACTCGGAGAAATTAAATATACTGAAATATATCAAGATATGAATCTCACTGTGTTAACCTCTTATGATCACATTGTATTAACCTCTTATGATCACACTGTATTAACCTCTAATGATCACACTGTGTTAACCTCTAATGATCACATTGTATTAACCTCTTATTATCATACTGTGTTAACCTCCTATGATCACACTGTAATAACCTCTAATGATCAGATTGTATTAACCTCTAATGATCATACTGTGTTAACCTCTAATGATCACACTGTGTTAACCTCTAATGATCACACTGTGTTAACCTCTAATGATCACACTGGGTTAACCTCTAATGATCACATTGTATTAACCTCTTATGATCACACTGTAATAACATCTAATGATCACACTGTGTTAACCTCTAATGATCACGCTGTGTTCACCTCTAATGATCAGATTGTATTAACCTCTAATGATCATACTGTGTTAACCTCTAATGATCACACTGTGTTAACCTCTAATGATCACACTGTATTAACCTCTAATGATCACACTGGGTTAACCTCTAATGATCACACTGGGTTAACCTCTAATGATCACATTGTATTAACCTCTTATGATCACATTGTAATAACATCTAATGATCACACTGTGTTAACCTCTAATGATCATGCTGTGTTAACTCTAATGATCAGATTGTATTAACCTCTAATGATCATACTGTGTTAACCTCTAATGATCACACTGTGTTAACCTCTAATGATCACATTGCTATTAACCTCTTATTATCATACTGTGTTAACCTCTAATGATTCATACTGTGTTACCCTCTAATGATCATGACCCTGTGTTAACCTCTAATGTAATCACATTGTATTAACCTCTATATTATCATACTGTGTTACCCTCTAATGATCATACTGTGTTAACCTTTAATGATCACACTGTGTTAACCTCTAATGATCTTCACACTGATTAACCTCTAATGATCACACGGGGTTAACCTCTAATGATCACACTGGTTAACTCTAATGATCACATTGTATAACCTAATTAATATCCATTATAATTAAAATTTTAATTAATTCCTAAGTTTTAACCTTCTTTTTCATCAAAAAGTTTGGGGCCTCTAATGATTACACTGTTTCTTTTTAACCCTTAAGATCCGCGTTTAACCTTTTAATTGCACCCATATATGACCCCAACATCCCCAACCCCCTTTAACCATGTATGAACACACCTTTTTTAACCCTAAAATAAAACGTATTGAAACCTCTAATTATCACACTGTTTAAAAACCCCTAATATTTTACCCCTTTGTTTAACCCTTGTTACCGTGAAACCTTTTAAAGACACACTTTTTGTTTTTAAAATTTTAATTTTCACGCTGTATTAACCTCTAATGAACCCACTTTTTAAAACCCCTAAATTTATCACACTTGGGAAATTAACCCTCTTATGACCCCCAATGTATTGGGGGCCCCCAATGGATCAACTGCATAAAGGGGCAGACAAAACAAGTCAGGGTTTTAAATTAAAATAGTAGATTATTTTAAATTTTTCTCAGCAGATGTTTTTTTAAAAAAATTACAGGTTTTATTTTTATTGACTCATTTAATTTTTTAAAAAAAAAAAAAACCTGCAAAAATTTTCCTATTTTTCTATTTTTTATTCTCTTTTTAAAGACAACCCTTTTGTTTTGGGGGCAAAAAAGGCAACTTTTTTTTTAAAATTTTCCCAAACCCTTTATAAACGTAACTGGAAAAAAGACGGAATCATTCATTCCAACAAATTTGTTTTTAAAATTCTCTATATCTAAAAATTTTAAAATATTGCCCCCCTAAGTTTACATTAAAAAGTATTTCAGTTGGGCCGTTTTTTAGGAGACCTTAAAAATAGAAAAAATTTATACTTTTTCAGTTTTAAAAAAATTTTTCAATACAAAATTTTCCTAAATTAATTATACCTTTTTATATTTCCTTCTTGGTGGTTTTAATTTATCACGGACTATTTGGG